ACAATTCCCTTTCCTACCTCTTTTTTTCTGTGTTGGTACTTGGCCTTTTTTTTTTTTTTGTCGGTCCTAGGGCTTGAACTCTGGGCTTGGGCACTGTCCCTGTGCTCTTCAGCTCAAGGCAAGCACTCTACCTCTAGAGCCACAGCACCATTTCCGGTTTTCTAGTGGTTTATTGGAAATAAGAGTCTCATGAACTTTCCTGCCTGGGCTGGTTTTGAACCAGGATCCTCAGATCTCAGCCTCCTGAGTAGCTAGGATTACAGACATGAGCCACCGGCGCCCGGCTGGCTGTTACTTGGCCTTTTTACACTCAAGAATGACACCTTCCACTTTAGCTACTCCTCTACTTCTGGCTTTTTGCTGGCTAATTGGAGAGAAGTCTCAAGGATTTAATCTTATCCAGATTAAACCATGACTGAGATCTCATTTTTCCAGTAGCTAGGATTTATAGGCATGAGCCACCAGAGCCACCTTTTCTTTCCTATTATGAAGAAGCTTTTACAACGATCCATCTCTCTGTGAAACCATTTAAATAATCTTATTTTCAGTATGTCATAAATAATTTTTTAATAGTGCTGAAAAGGAAAGGAATGTTCATGATGGGTAAATTGGTAATAATATGCAAGAAATGAAGAAAATTTGTAAAACATTTCCACTTCTTTGTTTCTCAAAGCAAGAAAATATACTTCAAATTTTAAGAGTACAAAAAAAAAAAAAAACAAAAAACCAACAATACAAAATCCAAGGGGCTGGGAATATGACTTAGTGGTAGAGTGCTTGCATAGTATGCATGACACCCTGGGTTTGATTCCAGAGTGCCACATAAACCAAAAAAGCTGGCAGTGGTGCTGTGGCTCAAGTGGTAGAGTGTTAGCCTTGAGCAAAAGAAGCTCAAGGACAGTGCCCAAACCCAGTGTTCAAGCCCCAGGACTGGCCTCCACACCCCCAAAAAACCCCCAAACCAACAACAAAAAAAAACACACAACCACCACCATCAAACCTAAAAAACAAACCACCATCAGGCACTAGAAGCACATACCTATAATCCCAGGTGTGTAGGAGGCTGAGATCAGGGAGACTTGTAGTTCCAGACAAGCTTGGAGAGAAAAATCTGAGATTCCAGTCCAATCGGGATAGCAAATGCCCACCCAGCTGTTCTGGGAGAATTGTGGTTTCCTGCCCAGATTTGTGCTTGGGCATGAAATCAGTCCCTATTTTAAAAACAGTGTGGAAAAAAAGAAAGCTGGAGACATGGCTCAATAATACAGCATCTGCCCCAAAAGTAGAAGGCCCTAAGTTCAAACACTAGTACAACCAAAACTAAATAGAATCCCCCAAAATATACAAAAAAAAAAAAATACCCACCCTCAAAACAAAAACAGAGTAGAAAGCAGGATATAGATCAAAGGTTTGTTGAAAGTCTACACATGGGCTGGGAAGAGCGGCTTAGTGGTAGAGTGCTTGCCTTGCATGCATGAGGCCCTGGGTTTGATTTCTCAGCACCAAATATGCAGAAAAAGCCAGAAGTGGTGCTGTGGCTCAAGTGGTAGATTGCTAGCCTTGAGCTGAAGAGCTAAGGGACAACGCCCAGGCCCAGAGTTCAGGCCCATGACCAACAAAATGTCTACACAGGTATGTAAATGTATGACTAATAATAGTTTTCTTTGTAAAACCTGGGATAATAGTCTACTAGTATGACTCTTTTAAAAATACTAGAATTAGCCAGGTGCTGGTGGCTCATGGCTGTAATCCTAGTGATCGAGGAGGCTGAGATCTGGGTATCAAGTTCAAGGCCAGCTTGAACAGGAAAGTCTAAGAGACTCTTCTCCAATTACCTAACAGAAAACCAGGAGTAGCCCTGTGGCTCACAGTGGCAGAGTGCTAGACTTGAATGAACAAGATCAGGGACATCACCCAAGCCTGAGTTCAAGCCCCCAGACTGACAAAAACAAAACTAGAACTCAAGAGTGTTGCTAGTACACACCTACCAGCTATTTGAGAGGTGGCGATGGAAAGAATTGAAATTTGAGGCCCAGCCCAAGCAAAATGTTACCAGGTACTGAGAGACCTAAGCAGAAGGATGACGGCTCTGAGGCAGATCCCTTGGAAACACTTGATACTCTACATGAAAAATAAAGCAAAAAGTGTTGAAGGTATGGGTCTAACTAGAACACTTTTTTGAGGTCCTGAGTTCAAGCCTTTGTAAAAAAGAAAAAAGCCAGAGAATATAACAAAATAGTTCATGTTAAGATATGATTTAAAACATCCAGAAGTCTAAAACTAAATACAAGGTTTGAGCACACACTAATGCCAGAAATGTCCAACTCTGCCATTTAATAAATGAGCCTCAGCCTTGTTTTCTAAGTAGAGTAATACCTTACAGACTTATTTTGATGGGAAATGTTGTCATAAAGCAACTTATAGAATACACAGAACAAGATTTCATTAAACAAACCTATTTAAGTTTACATTTAAAACTCATATTGAACTTTCTTGAACCATAAATTAGTACCTACTCAAGCCAATATCCCAAGTCATTATTTAAATTTATGTTTATCTTTTCTCAGCTGACAATAATGGCAGGTAGGTCTCCTAGAGAAAGTTAGGAAGTTTGAGTTGTGTCCTTTGATCTACTTGTTTCATACTTCAACATGTTTTCTCTGTTGTTCTTTCTCTGTCTGGAAAAAATAAATCAGTTTCCTCTGTCTTCTCTAAGTCTGAATAAAACCCTTCTTCCCTCTACTTTCTCCAAGAAAACAAAAGGGGAAAATAAGACTTTCAAACTAGAGTAAAAATTACTTTCTATATTTTACTTCTTCCAGATTTTGATTTTTTTAAAAACAGATTTAAATTATAATGAAAAGCTTTTTAGAGGGCTTTCAGAAAATCACATAATTGAAGGATAAACAGTTGACTTGCAAAGTTGCAGCTGTTAAAAGGAAGTTCTGCAGTTTGAAAATAATGTATTCTAAAAATTACCACGATTTTTTTGTCATAATATTTATTTTGGAATTCCAAATATTACTATTTTTTGAACTTTAAAAAAATATATGTATATTTAAGAGTATAGGTTAAAAGAAAGTTAAGAAAAACATTGCCCTTAGGCTTTTGAATAATGTAAGGCTATAATTTTTCATAATTATTCTGCTGTGCATTACTATAAAGATACAAAAGGCACAGCTCTTATAAAGTTTTAACAACTTGATTATTAATAGCTTTCAAAAGTAATTTATTTGGATTTTCCATATTCTTTAATGAATTGCAAATATAGTAACAGAAAAGAATCCTCCCCCCCCAAATTGTACAATTTCTGAAATAAGTCAGGAAAGGCAAAAAGAAAGACACTAAATTACATTGTTTCAATGCAAATAGATCACACATATCACATCCACACTCATTTTTCAGGTTTTCTCAAAGAAAACGGGTCATATTTCTCAGTGACGATCCATACTATAATCTGGCTAATCAGAGACTCTGAAACTGTTTTCTTCAAAAAGAGTATTTTTAATAGACTAAATACTGGTTATCACTGAGTGTTTAAGGTACAACAGCAGCATGGTTCAAATGTTACTTGCAGTTCTTAGAAAAAATAAAAAAATTTAAAGCAATGAAATACAGAAAAAGAAGGGATCACCTTTCATTATTTTGAGTACCATTTGTTTTCTTGAAAAAAAATATTCCAACCTTCTACAATCCCAGAGTAACAACCATTTCCAGGGGGGAAAAAAAGTCCAATGTTATAACTTCTATGAGTATGTAAATATATAATATATATGCATATGTGTAAAAAGCTTAAACAGAAAAAAATGATGTCAAGGTATTTAATATTTTAATTTCCTTCAAAGTAACTTCTGAAATTTGAAATATTTTGATTAATCAAAAATGTGTTTGTTTGATCACTATTTCATGCAAATAATAATAGTAATAATTAAAAACAAAAGGGAAAGAAAAAAATAGAGCAAGAAAGCTTACATTACTAGGTGAGACATAAAGCTTCAAATGCCTAAATGACTTTAAAAGCAGGTATGAGGAAAATGAAACCAGGCCAAGTGTGGGCTGAAAGTGTCCCTTAGCCAGCTATTGCCATGGTGTGCCTTCCACACTATCCTTTTATTATTGGTCTCAAAATCAGTACCAGAAAGTCTCTCTGGCACAGGACATAAATTCCTACTACGAAAAGATAAATTACACTTCAGCAAATTATGTTCTGAACTCAGCTTTCTGTAGGCCATATAACACAGAACTCAGGGTGAAGCTTTCTATGAAACTGTTTATCTGATATATATTGCTGGCTTGTGACTTACCTATTAAAGAATAAAAGAATATAAAATTAAACATTGAAAAGCTCATGGATGATAACATGAAATATTTCTTAGAATCTAAGTGCTAACCTTTGGGAATTTTTAATGACACTCGTTTATTCCCAATGTTTATTTTTCCTTATAGATTATTTTTTAGATAGCACACATACATAGACCTCGGTAAGAGATTTTGTTAGATGCATCTCTGGCAGTTAATACTTTAACTCAAGACTTTGACTTGACTTGAGTTATCTAATCCATTTCTGGATGAGATTAACAATAAATGACAGAAAATTACCAGGTCTACAAGCTAAATTTTTTTTTACATCTTTTGTAACCCACCTTATTTTCACAGCTTGACTAACAAATACAGGTAACCAGTACGTAGGTAAGTTTGTCCATCAAATAATCCAAAATAATAACTGTAGGCCTGTTGTTATTTGTAAGAAACTAAAATTTGCTATATTCTGACATTGGCACTTAATAAAACATTAACTAAAGTTTTTCTAAAAATTTCAATACATTACAATAAAGGAGGTACACAATTTAAGACTGTTTAAATCTGTTACTGTGAAATTGCAATAATTCTCATTTCATATGCATAATTAGATCTTTAAAATTGTGGCCATTCCCAAAAACATCACCTTATTTTATGATGAACTCAGGAGAAAACTTGTCTCCTTTACAAGAATATTTTCCCCAAGGCTAAAAATTTCTGATATCCTAAATTAAATTAGTATCAATATTAGTTTTGATGACTCACAATGCTGAAAATAATTGGAAGCAGAGAGCTAGAAAGAATGGAATTAACCTCATGAAAGGTAACCATACATTCCAGCACTCTACTTATACACTTAGAAATCAAAGGGATACTGTCTTGAACAAATGTAGATTCAAGATTATGGTACAATTTTGATTGTATTAAGGCTTTTGCTATCATGATCTCTTAAAGTCTCTCTATAGTGTTCTCATACTGATTCTCATGGTGAATTTAAGTGGTCATTAAGGGCCTTGTTTTGGCTTTTCAGTAAGGAACCACTCTCATCTATGAATGTTAAAGGTGATCCCAAAGAGCTCAAAGAGAAGAGGCAATATGGTAACGACAAATTTTAAGTTTGCAATACCATGACAACAATGATCAACACTTTGAAGCAAGGTGAATAAATTAAAATTCTTGGTTACATTTAAAGCATTCTTGCCAAGAATAAGTGTACACTGTATGGAGGGATATTTGATTCCTACATACAAGTCCCAATATGCCCATTACATTTGAGACACTGCAACTTTAAGGTAATTTACATTCCTTGGCAATCAAGTTACTGTTATAGGCAATGTCTTTTATTGTTCCATCTGGCACTTGCTAACACCATTCTTGAAGAACCTAGAAATGAAGGTCAGTTTGTTTATCAGGAACAGAACCAAATAAAAACAAAATTTTTGGAAAATGGCCAAGAAATTCTAGTTCATCACTATTTTCCATATCTAATGGTTCCTTCAAGATAAAACATAACTTTTCCTTCCATGATAGCTTTCCAACTAAGGGAGATTAAAGAAAAACAGAAAAGTTCCCCACCCTACTCCCCAAAATTGTCATTTATACTGGTAAAAGAGCCAGTCTTTTAGCAGCTAAATATTGCACTGCCTTTCATTCTGTGTACAGTCAGGGTCCAATGAAAGTGGCACACTCATGGTATAAGTGATAGATGATGACACTGCCGGCTCAAGAGTGAAGACTCAGTATATGGAGGGACAAGAAACATGTCAGCACTAGTCACGCATCTGGTTGCAAATGATTTCCAGAAGTTAAAATTCATCACTTTCTGCTGCATGAAGTTGTGTGTCATCTGCATCTGTCATGCTGCTCTCCTGGGATTCATCTGTTCCCACTGTTAAAAGAAAAAAAAAAAGGTTGGGGTTGTGGCTTAGTGGTAGAGTGCTTGCCTTGCATGCATGAAGCCCTGGGTTCGATTCCTCAATACCACATAAACAGAAGGGCTGGAAGAGGAGCTGTGGCTCAAGAGCTAGAGTGCTAGCCTTGAGCAAAAAGAAGCTCAAGAACAGTGCACAAGCCCTGAGCTCAAGCCCCAGGACTGGCAAAAGATAGAACAAAACAAAACAACTCTACAGTAAGGTATCTGACTAATATATAGTGTTGGTTCATGAAAACAAGTAAGGAAAACTGCATATTTAGAGAGCAGACCCTAAATAAACAATTACAAAAATCCTAATAAGCTGGGTGCTGTTGACTCATGCCTGTTAATTCTAACTACTAAGGAGGCTGACATCTGAGAATCAAGGTTCAAAAATGGCCCAGGCAGAAAAATCTCTGAGTCTCTTATCTCCAATTAACTACCACATCTTTAAGCCTAGATTTCTGCTGGTTAACTGGAGATGAAGTTTCAAGGATTTTTCTGCTGGGCTGGCTTTCAACCTTGATCCAGATCTCAAACTTCTGAACAGTTAAGATTTCCGGTGTAAGCCACCAGTATCCAGCTTGTTATTTCTGAAATAGGGTCTCACTTTATGTTCAGTATCTCCTGGACTTCAAGCTTCCTGTTTTGCTGGGATGACAGGCACACACTATGCTCAGCCACTAGACAAGATCGAGTCTGAAAACTTTTCTTGTGAGCCCAAGTAAGCCTTGAATTTTAGTCTCCTGATCTAGGATTACAGGTTTACAACTCTATGTCAGCTTTGACTTATTTTTTATTTTTATTTAATTTTTGTTGGTCATGGGGTTTGAACTCAGGGCCTGGGCACTGTTCCTCAGCTTTTTCACTCAAGGCTAGCATTCCACCTTTGAGTTACAGTGCCACTTCTGGTGTTTTGGTAGCTAATTGGAGATAAAAGTCTCAGGGACTTCCCTGCATGGGCTGGCTTTGAACTGCGATCCTCAGATCTCAACCTCCAGAGTAGCTAGGATTACAGGTGTGAGTCATCAGCCCTTGGCTCTTATTTTTTGGAAAAATTATTATCTTTAAGTAGTTGTACAAAGGGGTTTCAATTCAACACGTCAGTTTGTGATTACAATGCATCTTGATCAATGTCACCCCTTTCATAATTTTCATTAAAATCTTCCAGTAAGTTTTCTGGAACAACAACAACTAAGTAGAGTTTACCTCACCAGAAAATTTTAATTCTCTTCTTTAAAAAGATACAGATATACACTATTAACTTACAGATAGAATATATATTGCATTAAAATAAATTCTTGCTGGGTGCTGGTTGTTCATACCTATAATCCTAGCTACTCTGGAAGCTGAGATCTGAGAATTGCAGTTTAAAGCCAGCCTGGGCAGGAAAGTTTTCAAGACTCTGATCTCCAATTAACCATCAAAATGGAGGAAGTTAAGCTTGGCTCAAGTGTTAACAGTGCTAACCTTGATCAAAAAAAAAGCTCAGGGACAGTGCCCCAGGACAAACACTGAGAAACTGACAAAAACCAATTCTTGGCTGGGCCTGTAATCCGAGCATTTGAGAAGTCAAGATAAAAGGACTGTTACGTTTGAGGTCAGCTTGGGCTACAAGTAATTTGGTCTCAAAAAACAAACAAAAATAAATAAATAAAATATACAACACTTGCTTCTCTCTCTCTCTTTCTTTTTTGACGGTTGTGGGGTTTGAACTCTGGGCCTGAGCACTGTCCCTCAGCTCTTCAGCTCAAGGCTAGTGCTCTACCACTTGAGCTAAAGCTCCATTTCCGGTTTTCTGGTGGTTTATTGGAGATAAGAGTTTCATGGACTTTCCTGCCCGGGGTTGGCTTTGAACCTGATCCTCAGATCTCAGCCTCCTGGATAGCTAGGATTACAGGAGTGAGCCTCCAGCGCCCAGCTAATTCTTATTAAGTTACAAAAAACACACATTTAGAATACATTAAATTTGAATAGCCACAAGGGGTAGAGGTTATAGCCTAAGTTATAGAGTGCACATTAGCCAGTACAATATCCTGAGTTTAAATCCCAGTACCCCCCGCCCACACACACAAAATAGCCACTACTACAAAGCTTTAAAATATACTTTAACATTTAACAAACTCATTATTCCTTCACTTAATATTTACATGTTTTCCATGTATTTTCACAACTAGCATTCCCAATACATCCCATTAGTGTAGTTACAGTAGTATTACTTACATATTCAAATGCAAAATAAATGCAAATTGAGGTCCTGGTAAAATAACCAGCAATGATTTGTCAAAGTCACACAGCAAACTAGATCCAGATCTAAGACTAATTACTTGACTCCATATGAACTTCAGTATATATCACTCTATTACATTTTCCTAAACTTCCATTTGCATAAAGAAAACACAACAGTTAGAAAAATAAAAAAAAGTATCCCACAAATTCTTACATAAAAGGTAGCTTTCTGAATAGTAAAAATCCTATGTAGGATACTCACTGATCTGCTCTTCTTGAGTTATTGGCTCCTCATCATCTGGAAGATAGCGCTTATCAATTGCCTCTTTAATCTGGTTATTGGCTCCTTTAGGATCTAAATCCATAGCCCAAGAGAAATTCATCAGGGCAAGGTGTGTCTGACCTAACTTCTTGTAAACCTAAAAACAAACATCAACACTACATTTTTCATTAAGTTGTGGGCTTCCACTATAAAACATAAACATTTATAATATAAAGTAGGCTCCTGACTTGTGAGCTCTAAATCCATTCTATTTTTCAAGACATTTTCATTCAATAGACCAACTCATAACTGCTTTTGAGTTCTGTGTATGTGTGTGTGTGTGTGTGTGTGTGTGTGTGTGTGTTGGTACTGGGGACTGAGTTCTTTTCTAATATAGTCAGATTTGTTCTCCGAATCCCTTTGCTTTGCCAGGCCCTGGTAGCTCAAGCCTGTAATCCTACTTACTTAGGAGGCTGAGATCTGAGGATCATGGTTCAAAATCAGCCCAGGCAGGAAAGTCTGGAGACTTATTTCCAATTAACAATCAGAAAATTGGAAATGGAGCTGTGCTCAAAGTGGTATAGCAAAAGAGCTCATGGATATCACCCCAGCTCTGAGTTCAAGCTCCAGGTTTTGGGGGGTGGGAGGAGGGGAGTAGAATTCCTAGCATCTACTTTTCAGGTAGGAAGTTTCCAATGAATGTCACTTTGATTGAAACATTGACAATGTGAAGAAATGGACTGCAAAAGCTCATAACACTTTGGAACCAACTGGCATCTGGAGGCCCAATCTGTAAAATCCTGACTAGACTGACCTTAGGAATCTTCGACACTCTAATTCAGTCAGTAAGTACAGTGACAGTATAATGTTCTCTCTTTTTTGGTGCTGGTCCAGGGGCTTGAACTCAGGGCCTGGGCACTGTTCTTGAGCTTCTTTTTCTCAAAGTTAGCACTCTGCAACTTCTGCTACAGCTCTACTTGTGGCTTTTTTGGTAGTTTATTGGAGATAGGAGTTTTACAGACTTTCCTGCCTAGGCTAGCTTTGAACTATGATTCTCTTATCTTAGCTTCCTGAGTAGCCAAAATCACAGGTATAAGCCACCAGCATCCAGTTAATGTTCTTCTTGTAAGGGACAGCTAAGTATTTTATTAAGCATTGAAACTTAAGAGCTTTCGAAGTGGTACTCTCATTATTGGCCTTAGACTGCAAATGTTCATTTTCGAATACCACAGGAAGGTTATTCTCAGAGCCTTAGTTCAAAGCCTAGTTGAATTTGCTTAGGATGTTATACAGTAAGTATTGTATTTACTTTTCAAAAGGTAGTGTAGTTATCAAAATCACAGTCTAGAAGCAAGGCCCCAACTTTACCTTTCCTATTAAGAAGTAAACGAGGGACTCTTTGGGAACAATTTGTTTCAATTCTTCAAGTTCTTGTAAAGCAGACTGAAAAGGTAAAGAAAAATCTTAAGAGTAGCAAAATTTTATGGTGTTTTAGCAAAGCAAGTATTCTTGTTATATTTCTGAAATCATCTTAACAGAAGCTTATGGGACCTTAATGTACTTCTGCATTGTATTAATCCTTGTTGTTCTGAAAATAAAATGCATGAAAAATAATTCTGTACTAAGAACTAAGAAATAGTAGGCATTCACCAGAATACACTGAAAACATATACACACTACTATGAAAGATGAAAACTGGGAAAAAGTTCTATATACAGGGTCTAATGAAAACCACTTGTTTCCATAAGTTGTAGTTCATATTAATACGCTTCATTATATATATACCTTTGCACTAAGCACTTGGCTTATTGTGATCCCCTGTTAAGAATATCATTCATTCGTTCATTCATTCATTCATTCATTTATTGTTTCTTTTGTATGTTCTCCCCCCATGGTATAACCCCTGATGTCACTGTATTTAATTCTGGTGTCCTTAATCTTGTATATGCATTTTTCTGATTTGGGGAGGGGAAGGAAAATAACAAAATGCTGAAATAAGGATAGAGGATGACCCATTATAACAACGAGATATACAAGACACTATGTTGAAAACAAACTTTACAACTTAAGGGGGGTGGGGGGAGGGGAGGAAAGGGATGGTAGGGGAAAAAAAAGGAGAGGGTAACAATGCTTGATAGGAAATGGACTCATTACCATGCACAGGTAACTATAACCCCTCTGTACAGTATCTTTAAAAAAATATATATAAAAGAATATCATGTACATATTCTAGGTCTTACAAATGAGGGAGATCATGTGACCTGCTTTTCTTTGGGTCTGGCTTATTTCACTTAATATAATTTTTCCAAGATATGAACATTACAACTTGGGGGGGGGGGGCGGGGATAGGGACAGGTAAGTGGGAGATAAAGAGGAATGGGGTAACAATGATTAAAAAAACAAATGTACTGGGCTGGGAAGGTAGCTCAGCAGTAGAGTGCATGCCTTGCAAGCATGAGGTCCTGGGTTCGATTCCTCAGCACCACATAAACAGAAAAAGCCGGAAGTGGCGCTGTGGCTCCAATGGTAGAACTCTAGCCTTGAGCTGAAGAGCTGAAGGACAGTGCCCAGACCCAGAGTTCAGGCCCCATGACCACAAAAAAAAAAAAAAAAAAAAAAGTACTTATTGCCTTACCTATGTAACTGTAACCCCTCCAGCTCATCACCTTTTCAATTAAAAAATCATAAAAAAAATAAGCTCATCATATTAGGTGTGAATTTATGAAAACAGTGCCTTGAAAAACTATGTTGCAGGGGCTGGGAAGGTGGCTCAGTGGTAGAGTGCTTGCCTTGATACATGAGGCCCTAGGTTCAATTCCTCAGCACCACATAAGCAGAAAAAGCTGGAAGTAGTGCTGTAGCTCAAGTGGTAGAGTGCTAGCCTTGAGCTGAAGAGCTCAAGGACAGGGTCAGGCCCAGGGTGAGGCCCCACCACTGACAAAAAACAAAACAAAAAAACAAAAAACTAGGTTATAGAACACAAGTTCTATCTGGATCTTCTCCCTCATACAAACTCTAAGCTTTGAATATCAACTGGACTAACTCTAATGAAATTTTTCCCAGTGAACTAAATTAACTGTGTAGTAATCTTTTGACCTCTGCTAAAGAGTTGGAAAGAAGAGAAAAATATAGGAATAAGAATTATATTTGTGGGCTGGGAAGGTGGCTCAGTGGTAGAGCGCTTGCCTTGCATGCATGAGGCCCTGAGTTTGATTCCTCAGCACCACATAAGCAGGAAAAAAAAAGGCAGAAGTGGCAATGTGGCTCACAAGTGGTAGAGCGCTAGCCTTGAGCTGAAGAGCTGAGGGACAGCGCCCACGCCAGAGTTCAGGCCCTACGACCAGACCCCCAAAAAAAAAGAAAAAAAAAGAATTATATTCGTATTTAAAGAGATTATCATCAATTATCATCATTAAAAATAATGTGCATAGCCGGGTGCCAGTAGCTCATGCCTGTAATCCTACCTACTCAGGAGGCCAGCCCAGGCAGGAAGGTCCATGAGACTCTTATCTCCAATAAACCACCAGAAAATCAGAAGTGGCGTTGTGGCTCAAGTGGTAGAGTGCTAGCCTTGAGCTGAAAGAGCTGAGGGACAGTGCTCAGACCCAGAGTTCAAGTCCAATGACTGACCAAAAAAATAAATAAATAAAATGTGTATAGCAAATAGACAAAATTTCTAAGAAAATTATGCTACATAAAGTTAGCATTAGTGAGAGAAAAGAGGTATTAGTGTGTGTGTGTGTGTGTGTGTGTGTGTGTGTGTGTGTGTGTGTGTGTGTGTGTGTGTGTGTGTGTGTGTGTGTGTGTGTGTGTGTGTGTGTGTGTGTGTGTGTGTGTGTGTGTGTGTGTGTGTGTGTGTGTGTGTGTGTGTGTGTGTGTGTGTGTGTGTGTACCAGTCCTAAAACTCAGGTCTGAGCACTGTCCCTGAGCTCCATTTTGCTCAAAGCTATCAACTCTACCACTTTAGCCACACAGCTCCACTTCTGGATTTTATTTTTGCTCAGGCTGGCATCAAAATGTGATCCTCAGATCACAGCCTACTGAGTAACTAGGAATATAGGTGTGAATCACTGGTACCTGGCAAGAGGTATTCTTTTTTTTTTTTTAAGTGCAAGACTGGGACTTGAACTTGGTACCTGATATGCCTTTGACTCATTGGCTAGCAGTCTACCAACTGAATCATGCCTCCAGTCCCTAGAGGTATTCTTATTAATATAGGTAAAGTATAAACTTTATAACTTGCTTGTGAGGCTAGGTCAGCAAGTTACAAATTGCATGTAACATTGATTCAGTAATCAGATTGATTTATTTTGATTTTTTGAGACAAGGTGTCACTGTGTAGCCCATGATTGCTTCAAACTCATAATCCTCCTGACTCAGCTTCCAAAAAGTTGGGATTACAAGCATGAGCTAACATGTCCAGTATCACTATTAAGAATCTGTCCCAGGGGTACACTAAAAACAACAACAACAACAACAAAATCATCATCGTCTTTACAAGAACACTTGACACAATATTATTATTCCTAGAACATACTAAAAAAGCAACTAGGGTAGTCTAACTGCAGACTAGCTTTAAGTAAATTATGGTCTACTCTATATGGAATCAGATACAAAATGTAAAATTGATATAATGTGAGAATTCAGCCTTTTATTTTCCATTTGGTAACTTAAATGATTAGATACCAGTACAATACACTCAACAGGTTGATTGCTGCCATCATTAAGGTATAGAGAAGTAGAAGTGCAGCTAGGACATCTTATACACAACTAGTAACTGTTCTTATATACTCATGTGAGTATGAGTGTGTCTGTGTGCCTGCCATTAGTAGGGCCTGAATTCAGGGTGTGAGTGTTGATTCTTAGCTTGTTCCACTCAAGGCTGGGCACTCTACCACTTGAGCTACAGCTCTACTGTGGCTTTTTCTTTTTTTGGTGGCTAACTGGAGATAAGTCTTATAAACTTTCTTGCCTGAGCTGGTTTTGAACTGAGATCTTCAGAATTCAGAGTAGTTAGGATTGAAAGCGTCAGCCTTGGTGCCAGCTTGTACTTTTTTGTGTGTGCCGGTTGTGGTGCTTGAACAGTCTTGCCCTTTTATTTAGCTCTTTTTTGCTCAAGGATGGTGCTCTACTACTGGTGTCAAACTTCCACTTCTGGCTTTTGGTTAACTGGAGATACAGTCTAGAGGACATGGCTTTGAACCACTATCCTCAGATAGTGGCCCAAGTTATTCTAAGTAGCCAAATTCTGGTCATTCTTTTAATAAATTTATTTATTTATGCTTTTCCAGACAGTATCTCACCACATAGTTCAGGCTAGCTACAGGCATGCAATACTGTGTCTGGTTTAGTTTTACTCTTTTGAGTAAGAATCCAAATTTGTTAAAATAGAAGCTTGAAATTCAATAGACACTATGTATCTATGGTTTATTACTAAATAAATTTGAAGATTTATAATTTGAAAATCAGAGTGAGAAAGAAAATTACACATAGCCTCCTTGTTTTTTCTTTTCTTTTTTTTTTTTTTGTCGGTTGTGGGACCTGAACTCTGGGCATGGGTGCTGTTCCTCAGCTCTTCAGCTCAAGGCTAGCGCTCTATCACTTGAGCCACATCACCACTTCTAGCTTTTTCTGCTTATGTGGTGCTGAGGAATTGAACCCTGGGCTTCATGCATGCAAGGCAAGCAGTCTACTACTGAGCCACCTTCCCAGCCCATAGCCTCCTTGTTATACTCTAACTTTTTTTTTGGTTGGTTGTGGGGCTTGAACTCTGGGCCTGGGTGCTGTCCCTGAGCTCTTCAGCTCAAAGGATAGTGCTCTAACACTTTAAGCCACAGAACTACTTGTGGTTTTCTGATCATTAATTGGAGATAAGAATCTCAGAGACTTTTCTGCCCAGGCTGGTTTTGAACTATGATCCTCAGCTCTCAGCCTCCTGAGTAGTTAGGATTACAGGCAATAGCCACTGGTGTCTGGCTATCCCCTACCTTACAACTCACTGTACTTTATGCATTTGGATGCATTATTTTTGTAATTATTTAGTTAATAGCTATTCTCTTACTAGAAGGGTACTATATAATAACCTAGGCAAAGAAAGGAAATAATTGCATTACTCCTATTATATTCCTAGTGACAATACAATAAGTATTTAATAAATGCCTTTATTCTTTCTGGTAGTGCTAAGAATTGGACCCAGGGCTTTGTGCACCCTAGACAAGTACTCCACCACTGAGCTATATACCCTCAGTCCAGCAAATACTTTTTAGTGTGTGTGCTAGTCTTGAGGATTCAACTCAGGTCCTGAGTGCTTTTTGTTGTTGTTGATTATGGTGCTTGAACTCTGGGCCTGGGGCACTGTTCCTTCAGCTCAAAGCTAGTACTCTACCTCTGGAACCACAGTGCCACTTCTGGTTTATTAGAGGTAAGAGTTTCACAGTGTTTCCTGCCTGGGCTGGCTTTGAACTGTGATCCTCAGATCTCAGCCTCCTGAGTAGCTAGGATTACAGGCACGAGCCACCAGCACTGGGCTAAAATTATTAGAAAAAAAATTTTTGGAGTCCGTCGTGGGGCTTGAACTCTGGGCCTGGGCACTGCCCCTCAGCTCTTCAAAGGATAGCCCTCTACCACTTGAGCCACAGTGCCACTTCCCTAAATGTTCTTTTAAAAGTGAATACACAGGGACTGGGAAGGTGGCTCAGTGGTAGAGTGCTTGCCTTGCATGCATGGGCCCTGGGTTCAATTCCTCAGCACCGCAGAAAAAGCCAGAAGTAGCACTGTGGCTCAAGTGGTAGAGCTCTAACCTTGAGTTGAAGAGCTGAGGGACAGTGCCCAGGCCCAGAGTTCAGGCCCCAGGACCGCAAAAAAAAAAAAAAGTGAATACACAGCTGGGCACAGGCTCAAGCCTACAATCCTAGCAACTCAGGAAGTTTGAAAGCTGAGGATCGAGGTTCAAAGCCAGCCCAGGCAGGAAAGTCTCATTGGAGACCACCAGAAAACTTGAAGTGGAGCTGTGGCTAACGTGGTAGAGTGTTAGCCTTGAGCAAAAAGAGCTCAGGGACAGTGCCCAGGTCACGTTCAAGCTCCATGACCAATAACAAAAAATAGTGAATACATATCCATTTGTCAACTATTCATTTATTTTGGTCTTGAGATGATGGTTAAGGTCTCACTTTTAAAATAATTCCCTGGTAGAAAAAAAGCCTTTCTATTACAAAGAATAACCATAAGTTTCTAAATTTCCACACACACACACATACTTCCTTTATTTCATGAAGAAATAAAATCATGAAAGAAAATTAACAGTTTTTGAAAATGGAGAAAATTAATCACTTCAGTTAAGAAATGAACATATAAATAAGTTTTAGTTAAAAAAAGAGACATAATTAATACAATGTGGAAGACAAGTGGACTATATCTTACCTTATATTTTTCATTTGCAAATAAAACAGAGGCTCTGTGAAATTTGCATAAAGGGTTCTTGGGATCAATAACAATGGCTTTGTTTAGGGTATCCAAAGCCTTCTCAGATTTTTTTAGTGCATGTTGAACCTTTAAGAAAAAAACATCATGTTAAAGCTCCCTTTTGATGTTAGTGAAAAGTGAGAACCATATAATATGACTCAAAACCCAATATAAAGACAACAAAATTATTAGAGATGAGATTGTAGGTCTAACTGTATTGACCACTGGGTTAAGTGGATACAGTGACTGCTTAACAAATGATTATCTAAATGATGATCTAGATTACCTCTAAATCTATTCTATTTATAGCATCTACTTCCTTTGAGCATACAGCATCATTTAACAACAGATAGATTTAATATTTAAATAATATTTAATTTGCTAAGTTGAAAACTTATATTCTTCCTCTTGATTTCCAAACTACCATTATATTTTCCTAAGAATAATTACAATTTTATTTAGAGCAGTTATTTGTATACCCTTAAATCCAAAAGTCAAGTAAAACTTTGAATTCTTTCCTTTTACAAGAAAAGAATGTCTTATATATCCAGATAATGCATTTCAAAGAATTTATTATGGTCCTCTAAATACCAGGTTTTAAAAAATTATTCAAAGAACCTCTTTGTCTATCAATCCTGTAGTATTCATAGCTATTATAATTTAGGAATTTATTTGAAAGATTGGGGTGACAGTGTAGTTCAGTGGTGGAGAACTGGTGTAATAACATGCTCAAAGCTTTAGGTTCAATCCCCAACACCAAAAAGCAAGCAAAAGAAACAAGTAAACAAACATATAATAAAACAATCCTCATTTGAATCACATAACAATCCTTGGAAGTAGGCAAGGTGGTGGTACTGTCATTCATACAACAAAAATTCTAAAAGCACAAGTGACTTGCTCAAAGGATAAAACACTGATCTCTCTCTTTCTCTCTTCCCCCTCCCTTCCTCACCACCCCCCCACTCTCTTTTCTAATTTCATTTTTCTAGTCTGAAACTGGGACTTGAACTTGGTACCTGGGGCTTTCACATATTGGCTAGTCTCTACCAACTGAGTCACATCCCCAACTCCTATTTTTATTTCATTTTATTGTCTGAGACCAGAACTTGAATTCACTATTTGATGTTTGTTTTTGCTCATTGGCTGGTACACTAACACCCAAGCCATACTTCCAAATTGATTTTTTTTTTTTTTTTTTTGGGTAGATCACGGGGGCTTGAAATCTGGCTTGGGCGCTGTCCCTGAGCTCTTCAGCTCAAGGTGAGCACTCTACCCCTTAAGCCACAGTGCCATTTCTGGTTTTCTGGTGGTTAATTGGAGATGAGTCTTTCAGACTTTTCTGCCCAGGCTGGCTTGGAACCATGATCCTCAGATCTCAGCCTCCTGAGTAGCTAGGATTACAGGCGTGAGACACTGGAGTCCAGCTCTGTTTTTTTTTTTTTTAAATATCAAGCCAAAGAGGTGTTTCATGCTGTGAAGATTCAGAGACGTTATCTGAATAACAACCATTAAAAAAAAAGTCCCAATTTTCATATAACAAGTGAATTGATAAAAATATTTTAAAAGGGCAGTAGAAGAGCACAAATATTTACTTACTACTCCAATGTGGCAAAGTAAAACTGAACTTTGAGGGTTGATATCAAGTGCTTTCTGGAAATGCATTTCAGCAAGGCTAAATTTTTCTTGCTTGTAATAAATCATTCCTAAACCATACCTGAAAGTATAAAACAAAATTAATTTTAGGGCTAAAACTTTTAGTTCCCAGCTTATTTCAACTACTAAAATGCTATGTATGATATCTGGCATCTTAAAAAGCAGTGAAAAAATACTGGTGGTCTTAGTTACAATAAAAATTAATTAAACATTCAGGAGAGTTTTTTTGTTTTGTTTTGTTGGTCATGGGGCTAGAACTCGGGACGTAGGCACTGTCCCTGAAGTCTTTAGGACCAAGTCTAGTGCGCTATCACTTTGAGCCACAGTGCCACTTCTAGTTTTCTGGTGACTAACTGGAGATAAATCTCTTGGATTTTCCCGCCAGGCTGGCTTTGAACTGTGATCCTCAGATCTCAGCCTCCTGAGTAGCTAGGATTGCAGATGTGAGTCATAAGCAACAGGCTCCTTTTTTTTTTTTTTTTTTAATAATACAAAGAAAAGTCTTGTTTGTGTCTATATCACTTTGTTCCTTCTCTCTTCCCATTTGTAACTGATTTTTTTTTTTTTGGTTGATTGGGGGCTTGAACTTTGGGCCTGGGTGCTGTCCTGAGCTCTTCAGATCAAGGCTAGCACTCTACCACTTGAGCTATAGCACACTTCTGGTTTTTCTGGTCCTTTATTGGAGATAAGTGACTCAGGGCGGGCTGGAAAGTTGGCTCAGTGGTAGAGTGCTTGTCTTGCAAGCATGAGGACCTGGGTTTGATTCCTCAGCACCACATAAGCAGAAAAAGCTGGAAGTGGGGCTGTGGCTCAAGTGGTAGAGCGCTAGCCTTGAGCTGAGCTGAAGAGCTGAGGGACAGTGCACAGGCCCAGTGTTCAGCTCCCATGACCGACAAAACAAAACAAAAAAACCACAAAGAGACTCAAGGCCATTCCTGACCCTCAGATCTCAGCCTCCTGAGTAGCTAGGATTATAGGTGTGAGTCACCAGCGCCCAGTATTAACTGATTTGTTTGTTTTTTGTGGTTGTGGGGCTTGAACTCTGGGCCTGGGTGCTGTCCCTCAGCTCTTCAGCTCAAGGCTAGTGCTCTACCACTTGAGCCACAATGCCACTTCCACTTCCAGTTTTCTAGTGGTTTTATTGGAGATAAGAGTCTCCCGGACTTTCCTGCCCAGGCTGACTTTGAACCGAGATCCTCAGATCTCAGCCTTCTGAGTAGCTAGGATTACAGGCATGACACACCAGTGCCTGGCTTGTAACTGATTTTTTAAGTTAGCATACAGTAGTTATTATACAAGGAGAGTTTCATTTCACACAAGTATACACCCCTTCAATATCCCTCATCTCTTCATCCTCTTCTTAGGCAATTTCAACGAGTTTATTGTTCTATTTTCATATATGTGTATGAGGTACATCAATCATATTCATCCTCAATCACCCCTCCATTTGTCTTAATTCATCCTGCTGGTACCTACTACCAATGAAATTTGTTTTACTTTCCTGTCATTCCTTTTTTATAAGTATATACTAATTGTGCCAAGGATTTTATCATAGTATTTTATATGTGCATGTATTTATTTAAACCAGAATAACCCTCTACCACCTACCAGGTGCTAAATTCTTAATATAAATTATTTCACTTAATCCTAAAAAGAACCAAGAGAAGATTGTTATCATTGCCCAACTGAAATAAGAATGAAGCTCAGAGTATTTAAATTCTTTGCTTAATGTTATATAGCTAAAAGCTGGTAAAGGATGCTCAGTCATAGCAAGTCAGGAAGATGAGATTTGAGGATTGTAGTTCAAAGCTAGCCAGTACAGACAAATCCAAGAGACTCATATCCCCAACTAACCATCAAAATTGCTAGAGGAGCTGTAGCTCAGGTGGTAAAGTGCCAGCCTTGAGTGCAAAAGCCAAGCAAGAGCATGAGGCCTTGAGTTCAAGCCCTAGTATTGACATAAAAGAAATAAATAAATAAAAATGAAAAAGTTATACAGCTACTAAGGATCTTATCAAGGCCTTATTTAATGATTTTAAAGCCTGACCTAACAAATGCTATTTCCATATTCTTTGTCCAAATGTACATTATGTCGTTTTTTTTTTGTTTTTTTTTTTTTTTTTGCCAGTCTTTGGGCTTGAACTCAGGGCCTGGGCCCTGTTCCTGAGCTTCTTTTGCTTAAGGCTAACACTCTACCACTTGAGCCACAGCACCACTTCTGGCTTTCTCATTTATGTGGCACTGAGGAATCTAACATAGGGCTTCATGCATGCAAGGCAAGCACTACTAAGCCACATATGTCATTTATTTATTTATGTATTTAGTTGGTCCTGGGGCTTGAACTCTGGGCCTGAATGCTGCCCCTCAGCAATTCAGCTCAAGGATAGCACTCTACCACCTGAGCCATTGCGCCACTTCTGGTTTTCTGAGTGGTTTATTGGAGATGAGAGTCTCACAGACTTTCCTGTCCAGGCTGGCTTTGAACCACCATCCTCAGATCTCAGACTCCTGAGTAGCTAGGATTACAGGTGTGACCCCCCAGCCCCCAGCACACATGTCTTTTATATTGCTATAATTGTATTATACTATACAGAATGTCATATATGGCTTTACTATATATATTTTATGAAAACCATGCTCTCCTAAGTTATTATAGTCTTTAAAATTGTAATTTAATGTTACAGTGTATTGGTTTGATAGGAACTGTTTCTATGTTTTCAAGATGTATATATGGTTATAAAATATATAAAAGTATAATATATGGTTAATAAAAAGATCTTTTTAGGAATATGCACCAAAGAATTAAAAAAATGGACAAAACATTTGCCCTTAGTAGCTTTATCATTTAATGGTGGTATGTGACAAGAAAAGTATAAAAAGTCTGTATTAATAAAAGTATAGGTGGAAATAACACAGGAAAGATTATGTATTTTGGAATTCCATTAAGTTATCATTAAAAAAAATTAAGTTCTTGGGGCTGGGAAGGTGGCTCAGTGGTAGAGTGCTTGTCTTGCATTCATGAAGCTCTGAGTTCCATTCCTCAGCACCATATAAGCAGAAAAGGCCAGAAGTGGCACTGTGGCTCAAGTGGTAGAATGCTAGCCTTGAGCTGAAGAGTACAGGGATAGCACCCAAGACCAGAGTTCAGGCCCCACAACCAACCAAAAAAATAAATAAAAATAAAAAAAATAATGAATCAGTTCAATGTTTACTTAATGCCACCTAAAATAATTCAGTATTTAAAATTCTCCTATTGAGTACTTGCCAGTTTGAATAGTCCTCCTTGTTAGAGAAGTTTTGGTAAGAAAATTTATTGAGAATGTAGCCACTGCTAAGTAGTCAACAAATCCTAATCTGTTAAATAACACTTTAATTGGGTATAGGTTGCTCAAGCCTGTAATCCTAGCTATTCAGGAAGTTGAGTTCTATAGGACTATAGGTCAAATCTAGCCTGGGCAGAAAAGTCTGTGAGGGCTGGGAATGTGGCTTAGTGTTAGAGTGCTTGTCTAGCATACATGCCCCTGGGTTTGATTCCTCAGTACCACATAAACAGAAAAGGCTGGATGTGGCTCTGTGGCTCAAATGGTAGAGCGCTAACCTTGAGCACAGAGAGGCTCAGGGACAGAGCCCAGACCCTGAGTTCAAATCACAGAACTGGCAAAAAAGAAAAAAAGAAAAAGAAAAAAAGTGAGGTTCTATCTCCACTTAACAACATGCTTGACTAAAGGTGTTGCTCAAGTGATACAGTGCCAGCTATGAACAAGCAAGCCAAGTAAGAGTGGGAGATACTGAATTAAAGCCCCCAAAGGGGCAAAAATAAGTAAACTTATAAAAATAAAATAATAAGAACAAAATAAAACAGTTAAAAACAACAATATTACAGAGAACTACATATATGAAGGGATAGCAGTTTCATGTATCAACAAAAAGCTAGCTTTTTTGGCCATCATTTCAGCAGTATAACTACTTAGAAATGAGATATAATACATAAAAAAATACAAAAATATGTATCAGGTACTCAGTAATTTTTCTTCTTAGGTATCTCATTACTGTAATAAGTCATTAATAAATAAGCCTTGGTTTTTGCATTTCATTAGCACTTACCATGCATTGTAATGTCTAGGATTCACTCTGATAGCATTTCGGAAACATGCTAATGCTTTGTCTAATTCTTCAGTTAATACAAACTCATGCCCTAGTAGAGTATAGGCATAAGCATAATTTGGATCAACCTGGATAGCTCTCTGGAAAAACTTAATTGCAATATCATGTTCACGTTGTAAACTGAAACAGTTCCCCGCAGCACACCAGGCCTGAGCAAAACGGAAAGGAACAAAAAGTAAAAACACAATTAAAATTTTATTTTTTCTAATAAAACCCTATGACTAACCAAACCTTATAATTCACTTAGTACAGATAAACAAAAAACAAAAGGCTCCAGCTAGGAGACGATGTTCATTCTCCATAGGAGAGTTTGTATTTGCTGATATACCAAAATTTATCTGCAAAACCAAAATCAGTACTCACAAAGCTCTGGTAGCCATTCAAGGATTCAACATTTGGGCTGCTCAAAGGAGCACAGTTTCAGCTGAGGCTGAACAAGCATTCCTTAGATCTTCCATTTGGAATGAGTAAACAAAACCTAACTACAGAGGGGCTGGGAGTGGGAGTATTGCTCAGGGGCACAGTATTTGCCAGCATGCTCAGTGGCCATGGGTTCCACTCCCCAGCAGAGCAAAAAAGAAAAAAAAGGAACTATGTTTTGATCAACATACCTCTGGTGAATTTTTATCCATGTCTGTTAAATCTTTTGAAAGAACTGAAAGAGCAACATCTTTTTGAAGATGCCAGAGTGTTGTAGAGTAGATCTCCATGCCTTCAACTCTGTAATTTTCAATCCTTCTAACTTCTGAGAATATTCTTTCAGCCTGAAATTTAAAAACTAGTAAGGGAAAACAAGTTGATACAATATACATTTATAAGATGGGTGCTGGTGGTTCACGCCTGTAATCTGTTACTCAGGGAGCTGAGATCTGAGGAGTGCAGTTCAAAGCCAGCATGGGCAGAAAAGTCCATGAGACTCTTATCTCCAACCAGCTATTCAAAAAAAGCTGAAAGCAGTGCAGCTAGAGTGACAGCATCCTAGCCTTGAGCAAAAGCAATTCAGGGACAGTGCTTAGGCCCAGAGTTCAAGCCCCAGGACTAGCAAAAAAATTTTTTTTAATAAATAGGGGTGGGAATGTGGCTTAGTGGTTGAGTAAACATGCATGAAGCCCTGGCTTCGATTCCTTAGTAACACATAAACAGAAAAAGCTGGAAATGGTACTGTGGCTCAAGTGGTAGTGTTAGCCTTGAACAAAAGAAGCTCAGGGACAGTGCCCAGGCCCTGAGTTCAAAATCCAGAACTTGGAGGCAACAATGCTCAACAGGAAATGTACTCATTACCTTGCTCACGTAACTGTAACCCCTCTGTACAGTACTTTTACAATAAAAAACATACAAAAACAAAAGATCCAGGACTGGCAAATATAAACAAACAAACAAAACAATTTACATGCATATAGGGAGAGCATTGGTCACTCCCTTCACATGACCTAAATTAGTATGGTTTTAATGTGTAGTAAAATAAGCAACTTGATAAATTTACATCTATATTGAACTTGTTTTATTTATAAGCCATGGTTAAGAACATTAACTCTGAAAGTTTAAGTTTTTACAAGGGACAAAAGAGAAATCTATATAAAATTGTAATAAAAAAAAAAAAAAGAGCCAGTTATGGGGTGCTCACACCTATAATCCTAGCTATTTAAGATACTGAGACCTGAGGATCAAGGTTTGAAGCCAGACCAAGCAGAAAAGTCTATGAGGTTCTTATCTCCAATTAAGCAACAAAAAGCCAGAAGTGGAGCTGTGGCTCAAGTGGTAGAATGCTAGGCTTGAACAAATAAGTTCAGGGACAGAGCCTACCTCTTATGTTCAAGCCACAGAACTAGCAAAAAAAAAAAAAAAGCTTCCAAGCTCTGAGTTCAAGCCTCAGTATCGGCATTTTTTTTTTGTCAGTCGTGGGGCCTGAACGTTGTCCCTCAGCTCTTCAGCTCAAGGCTGGCACTCTACCACTTGAGTCACAGCATCACTTCCAGCATTTTCTGCTTATGCATTGCTGAGGAATTGAACCCAGGGCCTCCTGCATACAAGGCAAACATTCTACGACTGAGCCACCTTCCCAGCCCCTGGCAAAAATTTTTTTTAAAAATTAAAAAAGGCTAATGAAGTAGCTTAGTGTTATAATGCTTTGTCTAGTGTACACAAGGCCCTGGTTAATTCCCAGCAAAAATGGACAAGTCATCCTTTCTTTCTTTCTCTTTCTTTCTCTCTCTCTCTCTCTCTCTCTCTCTTTCTTTCTTTTTTTTGGTCAGTTGTGGGGGCTTGAACTCTGGGCCTGGGCGCTGTCCCAGAGCTCTTCAGCTCAAGGTGAGCGCTCTACCAGTTGAGCTTAGTGCCATTTCCAGTTTTCTGGTGGTTTATTGGAGGTAAGAGACTCACAGACTTTCCTTCCTGGGCTGGCTTTGAACTGCAATCATCTGGTCTCAGCCTCCTGAGTAGCTAGGATTACAGATGTGAGCCGCCAGCGCCTGGCTAGTAATACAAAACCTATTATTAGCTTAGTTTATCAACTTAGCAAATTTAAAATCCTAAACTTAGTTTAGAATAAAGAATATCTGGACTATTCTTACTGAAATTAAATGAAAAAGGAAAGGACATTTATAAAACTATGAACTTATGTTTTATAATTAGGCAGACCCAATCATTTATCAAGTGCAAAATTGACTGCTTTCTTTGAGAAGTGACTATAGTATAGATAAAAATAAAAATGGAGTTGGGCGCTGGTGGCTCACATCTGTAATCCTAGCTACTCAGGAGGCTGAGATCTGAGGATCACAGTTCAAAGTCAGCCTGGGCAGAAATGTCTCTGAGACTCTTATCTCCAATTAACCACCAGAAAACCAGAAGTGGCACTGTGGCTCAAGTGGTAGATTGCTAGCCTTGAGCTGAAGAGCTCAGGGGCAGTGCCCAGGCTTAGAGTTCAAGCTCCACAACCAAAATAAAACCAACCAACTAAATAAATAAACAAAAAACAAAAGGACAAAACTAAAGAATAATATAAAGGCTGTATGTAATTGGGATTGTAGGCATGGCTCAGGTTGTAGAGCCTACAAATGAGTGAAAGCTTAGATACTAAGTTTGAGTCCCAATCTCAGATCAAAAAGAAGAAAAAAGAAAAAGGCTCTAATTAGTTGAGTCAATGCTCATAATACTGTTTTATAGTATCTGTGAAACAATAAACTATATGAAGGGAGGAATAAACTTTCTTCCCTGAGTGTATTTTAAAAAAACAAGCTGGGTGCCCATAATCCTAACTATACAAGAGGTTGAGATCTGAGGATCACAGTTTGAAGCCTGCCAGCTAAATTCATGAAACTTTTTGTCTCCAATTAACCAGCATAAAGCTGGAATTGAACACATGGATCAAATGAACATGGATCAATCATGAACAAAATGTGAGCAAGAACAAGCCTTAGCACTGGCATAAAAAAAGTCTCTTTTTCACTATAGTTTACTTTTCTTAATATGACTTCTTCCTACTTGTTATTAATATTCACTCATTTGCAATCTGTCTTATTAGAAAATAATATGTTCTGAGAATTGGAGCATTGATACTGCCTATCTAGTTGTATTAGAGAATTTAGAAGAGAGTCTAGGACACAGTATATACTGAAATAATCTTTTTTTGTTGTTGTTTTTTTTGGTCCAGTCGTGGGGCCTGAACTCTGGGCTTGGGCGCTGTCCCTCAGCTCTTTAGCTCAAGGCTAGCGCTCTACCACTTGAGCCACAGCACCACTTCCGGCTTTTTTCTTTTTGCTTATGTGGTGCTGAGGAATCGAACCCATGGCCTCATGCATGCAAGGCAAGCGCTCTACCACTGAGCCACCTTCCCAGCCCCTGAAACAATCTTAAATAAACTACAAGTAACTTTATTAACTTTAATAAATATTGGAAATTAGATTTTCTTTTACTTTAAGTTAGTAATCATTTCCTCTTCTAATATATCTAGATAATCTATGCAACAAACTTAATTAAAATGAAAAGAACTAAACTTTTGTGTAAAAATATTATGTTCTCAAGTATAACATTATCTTCACAGTATTCTTCAACTTTTTTTTGGTGGTATTGAATATGAACTCAGGGCCTCATGCTTGTTAGGCTGGCCTCTCCCTTTAGCTTTGCTTTTTGTTTTTTTGGAATGGAGTCTAGAAAACTCTTCTTGTCAGGGGTGGCCTCAAATCATTATCCTCCAATAATATACCCTTCCTAGATTACCCCTAAGGATTTACAAGTTTGAATACCAGTATTAAGCTGCATTCTTCAAATTTATAAAACATACTAAAGGCCAAAAATTTGTTTTAGAAAATAACTTTATATTGCACAAAGGATTTAGATTATAAGTATCTACCTGTACTCATTTATTTACTTACTTATTTATTGCTGGTCCTGGGCTCTTGAATCCTGGGCCTGGACGCTATCCTTAAGCTCCTTTTACTCAAGGCTAGCACTCTACTACTTTAGCTACAGCACCACTTCCAGTTTGTTTGGTGATTAATTGGAGGTAAGAGTCTCACAAACTTTCCTGCCAGGGCTGGCTTTGAACCGTGATCCTCAGATCTCAGCCTTTTGAGTAGCTACCTAACATAGTTATATGATAAATATATACTTTTTTTAGATCTGAGTAGTATACAAGTATTTCATTTAAAAATGTATTGATAACTTCATTCTCTACAAATATATTTCAAGAAAAGTCCAAAGAAGAGCAGGAGTCATTGCTCAATTGCCAGAGTGCTAGCCAAGCAAGCAAGCTGAGCAAGTGTAAGGCTGTGAGTTCAAACTCCAGTACTACAACAACAAAGTCCAAAGAGTTTAAATTACTCATCATCTATAAATGATAAATGCTTACAAAAATAATCACACAATCACATAAACATTACACATTAAATATTTAGATCTAGTTTTGGGCATGAACATTTTAATTAGATTTAAATTATTTCCAGAAAGGCATATATATGTAACTGTATTCTATACTTACTTGCATGTATTCTGAAAGTTCAAAATAAGCCCTTCCAATTTGGCACAGTACCCAACCAGTATTGTAGTGGTGAGAAGGTAGGTGGCTCAAAATATTTATAGCTTCTTTGCAGTTGTATGAACACAAAGCTAAATAACCTTTCCCCATTTCACGAAGAAGGCTCATCAAACCTTCTAGGAGAAAAAAATATAGTAAACAAAGGAGAAAAGCAATACAACTTGGTTTTCTAGAAAACTAAGCCACTAAAATTCCAAAATATATCCAGAAACATTAAGACAGTATAATGAACATAAAGATATTTAATTAAAATAAATTCATAATATGACAAAACAAAATAAAGGCAATATTAAGTACTGAAAACAGACCTGCTGCTGCCTTTTGTAGATTAAAAGCCTGGATCTGAGGTGTGATTGTGGATATTTTCCCTTCTGATATGATAGAAGAGTCCAATTTTGTAATTTCCAGGCTATCATTTATGTTAGGTTGAGTTATTCCTCCTTTACTAGTTTTACTTTTTGTTTTTCTGTTTGGGATTTTAGGTGGAAACTTCATTTTTAATTTTTTGCTATTTTCCTGTAAAAGAAGGTAAAATTTCACACTTTTTATACTAATGTATTTTGTTTTATTTTAGTGCTAGTACTGGGGCTTGAATTCAGGGCCTAGGCACTGTCCTTAAGCTTTTTTTTGCTCAATACTGGTACTCTACCACTTGAGGCACTGTTCTACTTCTAGCTTGTTAATGGATAAATGAATGGGAATAAGAATCTCACAGACTTTCCTGCCTGGGCTGGCTTTGAACCACCATCCCCAGATCTTTAGCCTTCTGAGTAGTTTAGGATTATAGGCATGAGCTGCTGATGCCCAGGTTATACTCATGTATTTTAGACTTCTCCCTTCCTGCTTTCTTGTATAATCTTGAATAATCTCAAATTTTCTCAGAAGAAATTTTATAAAAACTAAAGTCTACACAAGTAGAGCACTTGTGTAGGAAGTATTTAAAACCCAGTACCACCACCATCAAAAGAAAGATTTCAAAGTCATTTAATTTTAAATGCAACAATTCTAAACATAAGTTTACATTAGTTAAGCTGATTAAGATATGTCTGCATAAAGTATTATTCTTTGTAAAAGTATATCACATTCTCATTTATTATTTAAAAATGTGAGGAAGCCAGAGTACCTAGTTATCTTTGAATACTACATTGTTGATCTGATCTCAAAGTTAAGGTCATTCATGGTTTGAGAAGGGGGAGACAGAATGACCGAGGAATGACTCTGATTAAGATTCATCATATGGGGCTGGGAAGGTGGCTCAGTGGTAGAGTGCTTGCCTTGAGTGCTTGCCTTGCATGCATGAGGCCCTAGGTTCGATTCCTCAGCACCACATAAGCAAAAAGAAAAAATCCGGAAGTGGCACTGTGGCTCAAGTGATAAGAGCGTTAGCCTTGAGCTGAAGAGTTTAGGGACAGCACCCAGAGTTCAGGCCCCACGGCCGGAGCCCAAAAAAAAATTAAAAAAAAGAAAAAAGATTTATCATATACATAAATGGATATCATAAAACATGACAAAGCTCTCTAAATTCTTAAAGTTTTGACTTTGAAATAATTTTCACTAATAAAAGGATGTAATCAACCATCATGCTTAAGATTAAGGACTATTGTACCACAAAGAAATGTGTTAGTGCTGTTTGAATAACCAATCCTTCCCTAGCCCTATCTTCTGATAGCTACTGATATTTGACACACACACACACACACACACACACACACACACACACACACACACTCTCTCTCTCTCTATATATATTTATTTGTTGTTGTTGTTGGTTGTAGGGCTTGAACTCAGGGCCTGGCCACTGTCCCTGAGCTCTTTTGCTCAAGGCTATTGCTCTACAACTTTGAGCCATAGCACCAAGTCCATTTTTTGAGTGGTTAACTGGAGATTAGAGTCTCATTTTTCTGCCTGGACTGGCTTTGAACTATGATCCTCAGATCTCAGCATCCTGAGTAGCTAGGATTACAGGTGTGAGCCACCAGTGCCTGGCTTGATTATAATTTTACCATTTCAAGAATGCCAAATTTTAACCAAAGGACCAAGAAAACTCACAAAAATAAAATACTCCTCTAAATTAAAAAAATTACTTAAACTGTAAAATAAGCTCTATTTATTAGAAATAATGTCATCAATAAGCAGAAATTTTAGCAATGGAAGCATTAAGTAACAACATTCAGAAATGTTTTAATTACCTTGGTTGTAGAGCTGTCACTAGTAAAAAGTCGTGAACTTCTTCGAGGCAGTGCATTTGGGGGAGATGTAATAGTGGGGCTCAATACCTGAGGTGTTGTACTAAACAAAAATGAAAAAGGAAGACATTTATTTTATATTTAGTTTATGACCATTAACTATTGTTTCAATTCTACCTTATGAAAAAGTATAGATTCATCAGTTGGTAAGTTTTGCCTATTCCTGTCCTATGAAAATCCAGCATTTTTGGGCTGGGAAGATGGCTCAGTGGTAGAGCGCTTGCCTTGCATGCCTGAGGCCCTGGGTTCGATTCCTCAGCACCACATAAGCAAAAAGAAAAAAGCCGGAAGTGGCGCTGTGGCTCAAGTGGTAGAGCGCTGGCCTTAAGCTGAAGAGCTGAGGGATAGCACCCAGGCCCAGAGTTCATGCCCCACGACCGGGACCCAAAAAAAAAAAAAAGAAAATCCAGCATTTAATAATTAACTTACTATAAAATGATAATTTTATTATTTAAAGAAAAAACAATCTACAAAAAAATATCTGGGTCAGCCAGGTGCTGGAGGCTCATGTCTGTAAGCCTAGCTACTGAGAGCTGAGATATGACAATGGTTCAAAGCCATCCTAGGCAGGAAAGTCCATGAGACTCTTTTTTTGTTTGTTTGTCGTGGGTCCTGGGCACTGTCTCTCAGCTTTTTTTTTTTTTTTGTCGGTCGTGGGGCTTGAACTCTGGGCCTGGGCGCTGTCCCTCAGCTCTTCAGCTCAAGGCGAGCGCTCTACCACTTGAGCTACAGCGCCACTTCCGGTTTTCTGGTGGTTTATTGGAGATAGGAGTCTCATGGTCTCTCTTGCCCGGGCTGGCTTTGATCCGCGATCCTCAGATCTCAGCCTCCTGAGTAGCTAGGATTACAGGCGTGAGCCACCAGCGCCCGGCTTTGTCTCTCAGCTCTTTAGCTCAAGGCTAGCACTCTACCACTTGAGCTATAGCGTCACTTCCGGCTTTTTTCTTTTTGTTTATGTGGTGCTGAGGAATCGAACCCAGGGCCTCATGCACGCAAGGCAAGCACTCTACCACTGAGCCACCTCTAATTAACCACCAGAAAAAGTGGAAATGGTGTTGTGGCTCAAAGTGATAGAGCATAAGCCTCGAGTGAAAAAGCTCAGAAACCAGTGCCAAGGCCCTGAGTTCAAGCCCAACAACTGACAAAAAATAAAACAAAACAAAAATCTGGGTAGGTCAAGCACATGTATAAACCAATTACATTTAGACTTCATGAACAACTACAAAATGTTAGGGAAAAAGGAAAAATAATTGGGCATGAATCCTTTAAATGGAGGTATTTGTCAACAAGTAAATACTAGAATAACTGTCAAACAGTTATATCTAAGTTTTATTTTATGATGATTAAAGAGAACTTTGATGATCACTTGGACACATTTTTTGCTCTAAAGGCAAACTTTAAGATATAAGAATTCAGCCAGATGGGGCTGGGAAGGTGGCTCAGTGGTAGAGCGCTTGCCTTGCATGCCTGAGGCCCTGGGTTCGATTCCTCAGCACCATATAAGCAAAAAGAAAAAAGCCGGAATGGCGCTGTGGCTCAAGTGGTAGAGTGCTAGCCTTGAGCTGAAGAGCTGAGGGATAGCACCCAAGCCCAGAGTTCAGGCTCCACGACCGGACTCCCCCCCCCCCCCAAAAAAAAAAAAAGAATTCAGCCAGGCTGGGCACCTGCGGCTCACGCCTGTAATCCTAGCTATTTAGGAGGCTGAGATCTGAGGATCGTGGTTCAAAGCCAGCCCAGGCAGGCAAGTCTGTGAGAATCTCATCTCCAATAAACCACCAGAAAACCGGAAGTGGCGCTGTATCTCAAGAGGTAGAGCGTTCCCCTTGAGGTGAGGAGCTGAAGGACAGCACCCAAGCCCAGAGTTCAAGCCCAATGACCGACAAAAAAAAAAAAAAAGAATTCAGCCAGGGGGGCTGGGAAAGTGGCTCAGTGGTAGAGCACTTGCCTTGCATGACTGAGGCCCTGGGTTCGATTCCTCAGCACCACATAAGCAGAAAGAAAAAAGCCGGAAGTGGCGCTGTGGCTCAAGCGGTAGAGCGCTAGCTTTGAGCTGAAGAGCTGAGGGACAGTGCCCAGGCCCAGAGTTCAGGCCCCATGACAGGACCAAAAACATAAAAACAAAAACAAAAATAGAATCAGCGCTGGGAAGGTGGCTCAGTGGTAGAGTGCTTGCCTAGCATGCATGATGCCCTGGGTTTGATTCCTCAGCACCACATAAGCAGAAAAAGCCTGAAGTAGCACTATGGCTCAAGTGGAGCTCTAGCCTTGAGCTGAGAGACAGCACCCAGCCCAGAGTTCAGGCCCCACAACTGACAAAAAAAAAAAAAAAAAACAAGAAAAAAAAAATTCAGCCGGGCACTGGTGGCTCAAGCCTGGAATCCTAGCTACTCAGGAGGTTAAGATCTGAGGATCAAGGTTCAAAGCCAGCCCAGGCAGGAAAGTCCATGAAACTTTGATCTCGAATTATCTACCAGAAAACTGGAAGTGGTGCTGTGGCTCAGGACCTGAGTTCAAGGCCCAGGAAGGACAAAAGAAAAAAGAAAAAAAAGAAAGCAGCCCAGGAGCTAGTGGTTCATGCCTATAATCCTAGTTTTTCAGGAGGTTATGATTAAGCATCAAAGCATATCTGGGCAAAAACATCCATGGGATTCTTTTTTTGTTGTTTGTTTGTTTTGTGTTGGTCCTGGGTCTGGGGCTTTTAAGTCAGGGCTTGGACACTATCCTTGAGCTTTACTACTCAAGGCCAGTGCTCTACTACTTAAGTCACAGCTCCACTTCCAGTGTTTTTTCCTTTGGTGGTTAACTGGAGATAAGCATCTCTCACAGAATTTCCTGCCTGAGCTGGTTTCAAACCTCAATCCTCAGATCTCAGCCTCCTGAGTAGCTAGAAGTACAGACATGAGCTACTAGTGCCCAGCAAAGTCTGTAAGACTTTATTCCTAATAAACTACTATAAAACTGGAAATCAGAGATGTGGTTCAATTGGGAGAGCTCCAGCCTTGAGAGAAGCTAAAGGAGGGTTGAAGCCTGGTGTTCAATTCCTAGTTTATAAAAGATTGTGGCCAGGTACCAGTGGCTCACATCTGTAATCCTAGCTACTCAGGAGGCTGAGATCTGAGGATCACAGTTCAAAGCCAGCCCTGGCAGGAATGTCTGTGAGACTCTTATCTCCAATTAACCACCAGAAAACTGGAAGTGGCTCAAGTGGTAGAGTGCTTAGTTGGGTCTTTAAACAATGTAACATCAGCCTGACTTCCTCCATGAAGTACATACTGGCTGGTGACTGAGTTCAATAAGGTGCCCAAGGATTCTATCAATCACTCTCTACATAACCAAGACTCCATCAAAATTCTGAAGTGAAAAGTTCATTTTAAATTTCTCCTACTAAAGTACTGGGAGGGTGACAGGTCCTGATTTCTTTCTTTCTTTTTTTTTTTGGCGGGGGGGGGGGGGGGGGGGGGGTCTGGTCATGGGGCCTGAACTCTGGGCCTGGGCGCTGTTCCTCAGCTCTTCAGCTCAAGGCTAGCGCTCTACCACTTGAGCCACAGCGCCACTTCCGGCTTTTTTCTTTCTGCTTATGTGGTGCTGAGGCATCGAACCCAGGGCCTCATCATGCAAGGCAAGCACACAACTGAGCCACCTTCCCAGCCCCAGGTCCTGATTTCTTAAGAAAGACATAAAATATCCTGTGTTTGGAATTTTCTCAAGACCTCCTGTTTTGTGGAGCTATTCTTTTACCAGATTCTGATTGGTGTAAGTATTATCCTGTAAGTTTTTCTAGTACTTCCCTGTTTTTCCTCAAGTTTTAATGAACATGAGGAATTAGTGGGAATTCTCAAATTTGTACCTAGTTGGTCAGAAAATTAAGTTGCCCAGTGAACTATACCCACAACTGTTCTCAGTTCAGAGAATTCTATTTTTTTTGGGGGGGGGGGGGTTGGGGGTCGGGTCCGGTCGTGGGGCCTAAACTCTGGGCCTGGGCTCTGTCCCTCTGCTCTTCAGCTCAAAGCTAGCGCTCTACCACTTGAGCCACAGCACCACTTCCGGCTTTTTTCTTTTTTTTTTTCTTATGTGGTGCTGAGGAATTGAACCCAGGACCTCATGCATGCAAGGCAAGTGCTCTACCACTGAGCCACCTTCCCAGCCCCCAGAGAATTCTTGTTGGGGACTGTGACCATTCTGTAGAGTCTGTGCTAAGCATGAGACTTATATTACAGTAGTATAGTGAGAAAATTAGTCAAAACTGAGGAAAGAACTACTAAGAAGAAATAAGCAGAATTCTTAGAGTACAACTCTGGCCAGGAATGGCACATACTTTCAAAAAGTACATGGAAGAAGCCTCATACTAATCTGGCAATTTAGTAATCAGAAGGTACTATTCTCAATAGGGGGCATAATTAGTTCAAACTTGCTCTGTCCTATCTAGTAAAACTTGAAAAGGAAGACCTGCAAAGATCAAATTGTTTCCACGTATATATATATATAAATTTACTTACACACACACACACACACACACACACACATCGTAGAATAAAACTTAAAAGTAGAGCTATAGCTCAAGTGGTAGAGTGCTAGCCTTTAACAATAAAGGGACAGTGCTCAGGCCCTGAGTTCAAGCCCCCAATCACCAATGTGTGCACACTCACGTAAAAAATAAAAATGAAAACAAAAATTCTAAAGAAGTGTTTTAAAAACTGAGTATTTAACAATGCAAAATGTGCAGTAACTGGTACCCAACAAAAAATAGCAGTCATGTAAAAGAGAAAATTCAATCTTGATGAGCAATGGTGGCTCACGCCTGTAATCCTAATCACATAGGAGGCTGAGATCTGAGGACTGTGGTTCAAAGCTAGCCCAGGCAGGAAAGTCCGTGAGACTCTTATCTCCAATAAACCACCAGAAAACAAGTGGCGCTGTGGCTCAAGTGGTAAAGCACTAGCCTTGAGCTGAAGAGCACAGGGACAGCACCCAAGCCCAGAGTTCAAGCCCCACGACTGACCAAAAAAAAAAAAAAAGGAATGCAATCATGTTCTTAATTTTCCTTTTTTAGCCACAATGAGTGGAGTTTTAAAGTTCATTTAATGATATACTTAACCCTAATCATAAGCATCTAAGACTGTCTCCTTGCCCACTTTAGTCAAACCAAACAAATGAGGAAAGTATATTTTCAGAAACATGTTGTATTGCAAAGTTGAATAGAAACTGTTTTTAAGTGGCTTGCTTACAAAGTTCATGTTGTCATTGAAATGTATCTCTGTGAAAATTGTATGACTGATCTCCAACCACTAGAAAACCAGAAGTGGCACTGTGGCTGAAGTGGTAGAGTACTCCACCTTGAGCTGAAGAGCTGAGGGATAGCATCCAAGCCCAGAGTTCAAGCCCCACGACCAACCAAAAAAAAAAAAAAAAGAATTCTATTCTCAGGGCTGGGAATGTGACTTAATGGTAGAGTGCTTGCTAGTATGCATGAAGGCCTGGGTTAGATTCCTCAGTACCATATACACAGAAAAAACCAGAAGTGGCACTGTGGCTCAAGTGGTAGAGTGCTAGCCCAGTAACAGATTTAATAGACAAAGACTTATTTTTTTTTTTTTTTTGCGGGGGGGGGGGGGGGGGGGGGGTCCAGTCATGGGGCCTGAACTCTGGGCCTGGGCGCTGTCCTTTAGCTCTTCAGCTCAAGGCTAGCACTCTACCACTTGAGCCACAATGCCACTTCCACCTTTTTTCTTTTTGCTTATGTGGTGCTGGGGAATCGAACCCAGGGCCTCATGCATGCAAGGCAAGCGCTCTACCACTGAGCCACCTTCCCAGCTCTAGACAAAGACTTTAACAGAACTAAATTAAGTTGGGTGGGCACCATAGCTCGTATCTGTAACGTTAGCTATATGTTAATCAGAGATAGGGAAGATCAAGGCCAGCCCTGGCAAAAAGTTCATGAGATTCTTATCTCAATAGAAAAAGCTAGGTGTGGGGGCTGGGAAGGTGGCTCAGTGGTAAAGCGCTTTCCTTGCATGCTCGAGGTCCTGGGTTCGATTCCTCAGCACCACATAAGCAAAAAGAAAAAAGCCGGAAGTGGCGCTGTGGCTCAAGTGGTAGAGCACTAGCCTTGAGCTGAAGAGCTGAGGGACAGCGCCCAGGCCCAATGTTCAGGCCCCACGACCAGACCCAAAAAAAAAAAAAGAAAAAGCTAGGTGTGATGTTGTGCACCTGTCATCCTAGATATGCACAAAGTGTAAATAGAGGGAATGAGGTCCAGGCAGGCCTAGGAAAAAATGAGATCCTATTGGAAAAACAAAGGCAAAAAGGGATGGCTTAAGTGGTACAGTGCTTGGCTAGCAAACACAAGGCTCTAAGTTCACACCTCAATACTACCAAAAAACCCAGCTGGTTGCCAGTGGTTCATGCCGGTAATTCTGGCTACCACAAAAGTTTAGATTTGATGATCAAGGTTCAATGACAACTGGCGCAGAAAAGTCCCTGAGACTCTTCCTCCAACTAATCAGCAACCAGTGACTAAAAGCCAAGCAAGAATTTGAGACCCAGAGTTTAAACCCCAGTACAATCTTGCCCATGTACAACCGTCTCCCCGCTGCAACATGCCAGTACAATCCTGCCCATGTACAACCGTCTCCCCGCTGCAACATGACTTCTGTATTTGAAGGTTTATTGTATGACCTGTGTATAGACATGAATAATGGGGAAGAGGAGAATGAAACCTGTCTGTACTTAATCTATAGAAATGTATAAGAACATTATTTTGAGCTGGGTGCCAGTGGTTCATATCTGTAATCCTAGCTACTCAGGAGGCTGAGATCTGAGGATCATGGTTCAAAGCCAGCCTAGATGGGAAAGTCCCTAAGACTCTTATCTCTAACCACCAAAAAGCTGGAAGTGGAGCTGTAGCTAAAGTGGTAGAGTGCTAGCTGTGAGCACACACAAAAAAAGTTACATATTCAAAATTACTCTAGGACTGTTGAACATATCAACATCACCTTCTTATAATAAATATAAAGAATCAAGCTTTCAGCAAGCAAATTAAGACTACTAACTGAGAATGCCATAATAAATACCTTGTTTGTGGGCCAGAACTTTGTGTTTGTGCAACAAGAATTGGAGTGACCTCTCGACTATTTCCACTCTGTGAGAAGACAGACTTTGTTCCAGTTTGGCCCATTCTGGCAACAGACTGTAAAACACAGAAAGTCAAAAGTTTGAGACCAGAAGTGATAAAAGACACCATGATGCTTCAAACACACATTTTCCCAACTAGAGTTTATAATACATACTTGTCATCTCAAAACATAAACTATTAACAATTATTTGTACTATTATTGTTAATTGTTATTATATCAATATGAACATCAGCTTACTTAATACATTTCATTTTTAGGGTATTTTTACTTCCTTGCTGTCTTTCATCCTTCATTCTGGTTTCAAAAGAAAGGTTGGGGTTGGGGAAAGATGGGTAGGGGAAACAAAGGAGGAGGCAACAATGCTTGACAAGAAATGTACTCATTATCTTGCCCATGTAATTGTAACTCCTCTGTACAGTATTTTCATAATAAAAAAAGAAAGAAAAAAAAGAAAGAAAGAAAGGTTAGAAGTTCCCAGAAGCTGGGCTGGGAAGGTGGCTCAGTGGTGGGGTGCTTGCCTTGCATGCATGAGGCCCTGGGTTTCATTCCTCAGCACCACATAAGCAGAGAAAGCCAGAAGTGGTGATGTGGCTCAAGCGGTAGAGCGCTCTCCTTGAGCTGAAGAGCTGAGGGACAGCGCCTAAGAGCAGAGTTCAAGCCCCACGACTGACCAAAAAAAAAAAAAAGTTCCCAGAGGCTATTATTTTTTACTGTGATCATCCTCCATTTATTACTGTACCTTCTATGTTTGGGGCTAAGTTCTACAAATTTTTTTTTTTTGGGTCCGGTTGTGGGGCTTGAACTCTGGGCCTGGGCGCTGTCCCTCAGCTCTTCAGCTCAAGGCTAGGGCGCTACCCCTTGAGCCATAGCACCACTTCCTGCTTTTTTATTTTCTGCTTATGTGGTGCTGAGAAATCGAACCCAGGGTCTCATGCATGCAAGGCAAGCACTCTACCACTGAGCCACTTTCCCAGCCCAAGTTCTAAAATTTTTAAGACTGCTACTATATGTCAAGATTATGATTTAGCCGGGCACCAGTTGCTCACGTCTATAATCCTAGCTATTCAGGAGGCTGAGATCTGAGGATCCAGGTTCAAAGCCAGCCCTGGCAGGAAAGTCAGTGAGACTCTTATCTCCAATAAACCACTCAGAAAACTGGAAGTGATGTTGTGGCTCAAGTGATAGAGCTGAAAAGCTGAGGGACAGCTTTCAGGCCCAGAGTTCAAGCTCCATGACTGATAAAAAAAAAAAAAAGATTATGATTTAATTTAAATTTATGATTTATAATTTTATACTCCTCTGATAATAAAAGTTTTACAATTTAAAAAAATCTGATCATTTTCCAAATTATAAGGATATTGGCCTTTAATTCTAATCTTGTATTGCTTTCTCTTTCCTTGAGAAAAAAAAAATCTGCGGAGCACTGGTAACTCATGCCTGTAATCCTAGCTACTTAGGAGGCTGAGATCTGAGAATCAAAGCCAGCTAGGGCAGGAAAGCCCTTGAGTCTATCATCTCTGATTAACCAGAAAAAAAGCTAGAGGGTGCTGAGTACTGGTGGCTCATGCCTGTAATCCTAACTGCACAGGAGGCTAAGATCTGAGGACCACAATTCAAAGCCAGCTCAGCTCGGGCAGGAAAGTGCAGGAAAGTCCATGAGACTCTTATCTCGAATTAAGTACTAGAAATCCAGAAGTGGCGCTGTAGGCTTGCCTTGAATTGAAGAGCTCAGGGACAGCGCCCAGGCTCAGCATTCAAGCCCTATGACTGCCCCCGACCCCCCCAAAAAAAAGCCAAAGGTGGAGCTGTGGCTAAAGTGATAGTGCTTGAATGAAAAACTAAGAGCACCAAAGAACTGAGTTTGAGCCCAAGTATCTACACAAATTTAACAATTTTTTCATTATAATCATTAGCAGTAACTATAGAAACATATGCTGAGTGCTGGGCCCTAGCGGCTTATGCCTATAATATGAGCTACTTAGGAGCCTGAGATAGGAGGATCTAAGTTTGAAGCTGACTTGCACAGAAAAATCTGTGAGACTCTTACTTCTAATTAACCAGCAAATAGTTAGAATTAAGAGGTGTGGCTCAAGAGGTAGAATGCCAGCTAAGAAGGGAAAAGCCAAGCAAGAGCGAGAAACATTGAATTCAAGCCCTAGCACAAAAACAAAACCCCCCAAAAGCATACACTGGAGATCTCAGTGGCAGAGCAAATGCTTAGCATGCCCAAAGCTCTAGGTTTGAAACTTAGCATTGAAAAAGCAAAAAAAAAAAAAAAAAAAAAGCAAAAACAAAACAAGCAATACCTCCCAAGTCCCCAAACAACAATATAAATATAGTAGTGGAAACAAAAAATAATGGCAGACATAATTATGTGTAAGTGGAAATGTATGTAGTTCAAGTGATAGAGCTCCAACCTTGAGCAAAAAAGCCAGGCAAGAGCGCAGGCAAGACTCTGAATTCAAGCCCAGAACTGGCACACGCACACATGCATGCACACACATACACAAATCTTAATTTAACAAAGAGGGAAATTAGGCTGGAGGCATGGCTGAAGTGGTAGAGTGTCAGTTGAACAAGAAATCCTTAGTGAGAGTGAGGCTCTAACTTCAAGCTCCAATACCAGGGGAAAAAAGGAATTCAGAAGTGGGTTTAGTGGTTCATGCCTGTAATCTCAGCACTAGGGAGGCTGAAGTAGAGAGGATTTTGAATTCAAGGGCAACCTGGACTTGCCTCAACAAACAAAAATGGAAAATTAAAAATAAAAATATTCAAGCAAGAGTTACATGGAAAGATCTCTCTGAAAGTACCTTTAGGTTGGACTTTTATGTTTATTTAAACAGTATCAAAACTGTGTCTTGCATTAAAAATACCTTTTTTGTAGGTGCTCCGGTAGATGGCACATCAATTACAGAAGGTGTATTAGTGTAGTTTTGTAAATAGGATCCATCTCCAGGACTTGGGGTTTCTAATGGCAAAATCCCAAAACTGAGAAGAGGTTGAAATCAAGGTGTCAAAAAGTCATCAAGGCATATATAAAGCAGCAGTATACTTAAATTAGAAGGTCTAAAAGGAAGAGAATGGCAAATCAGTCTTGGGGGCATTGATGTTCTAAGGGGCAGATTAAAAATAAGTTGTGAATGTTGACTATTCCACCCACCATAATCAAAATTTTTAAAAATCAAGGAACAACAAACAAGGAAGCTGAGCAACAATTATGGATCTTAGAAGATATATGAGTGACTTTGAAAGCTAAGATCCAAATAATCAAATTACTTCAAATTCTTGGACTCTATAGGACTTACAAATAGGAGACCATGTCTATACAGATCACTGATTACTGAATAATTTAACTGATATAATCAATCATCCAATGGTCTTTGAAGATGCCATTTCATGGTCATGGTATCTTAGTAACTGTAGCCCCAAGACATCATTCACACAAATCTATTCTAGCATGTAACTTCTTCATACTTTTGGATGTATATCCTCTGGAATGGTTCCTGTATTTATACACAAATATACTAATAATTTTGGCAAAATATTTTCCATTGATAGGTCAAAACCAATCATGTGTCAGAAAAAAAAAATCACCTTAACAAAACCCAATGTTTCTATGATTATATCATAAAGCATGTCAATATTCAAGGTATTCACTGCTACTTGATGCACAGCTCTACAGATAGCATGTTTTAATGAACACATTGCCATACACTAAGGCATATTTAAGAGTTAAAAATTTCTCCAATATTTAATATTAAATGTTCTGCTGAGTGTAGCTCCATTGGTAGAGTCCTTGCCTGACAAACATAAGGCCCTGAGTTCAAAATCCTAGTACTATCCCTATCCCAGAAATTAATTTTTTTTTAGAAATTTTTATCAAATGTGCTGTACTTTTTACTTTCTGAAAAGAATGTCTCCTTTGTACAGTGATTTGAGACATTGCTATTCATATTATATTACTAATAATATGAATTGTAAGGTCATTTAATATTGTAACACATTTTAAGTAACTTTTGTTTTACTTACCTTGGGGTTAGTGGGCTAAGAGCAGCTGGTCCTCCTAATAAACTTCGACCAGTTTTTGGTTTATTTTGAACCTGTTTAGATAATATAGAAGTGCCTGTTCCAAGAGGGACAGCATCTGGTGAAATTACAGTTGAATCAATGTAAGACACTGAGGAATCTGTATTCAAGGAGTACTTTGAGTTGGAAGATTCTAAATTCAGTCTGTTTAATTCCTGAAACAGAAAATTTATACTATATTACTTGTGATACATTATTTGGCTCAGATAATTCTTTTTAGTTTTCATAATAGTCTGAGCATTAGATATGATACACTTACAATTGTGTCCTGGGGTGTTTCAGTAAGAACTGTCTCAGGCTGTCTATGAGATAAACTATGATTAGATACTAGTGTTGTACAAGAGTTGGGTAGACAGTTGCTGAAGTTCTGAATAGATGTTAATTTAAATGTTTGATCAGGATCTGGTTTTTCACCTGTGAGGACCCAAAACAAACAACAATAATGTTTACATCTGAGGGATGAGCTTTATTTCAAGCATGAATAATCAAGTGCAAATAAGGCCTTATGTAAGGTTTTTAAATTCTCCTACCCGATTATGCTAATCAAAACTATTTCCTAAAAGCCTATCCAGTAACTTTTAATACAGTCAACTCCTATGATAAAAGATGTAAATTTGAGAAATTATATAGCAAGGACACTAGTTTTAAATATAATAAATCATAGGTAAAATGTTTTGTTTTAAAATATGAAGCAACTCAATCATATTTTTCCCAAGAGAGGTGGGTAAGGTTACAGGGTTAATAAGCAAATAATACAGTAAAGACTGAAGCACTTCTGTGTAAGTACACATTTAAACTTGGTCCCTTAGAATATATGACCTAAGATACTATATGTTGTCTAGGTCTTATTCATCTAACAGTTGCTATATGAGGCACACTATTACTTCTTTAGAAATCCTGTTAATTTCTTATTCATAAAGTATTTTTGCCTAATTGCATACATAATAAATTTCATTCTAGGGTACAAAGTAGATTCAATAAATGCCAAGAGAACAGTGAAGTTAATCTTTGAGGTAGAGTAGTAAGAAGTCACACTATTCCTGAATCATGTTTTTAATTTTGGCAGCCTTTTGCTTTGCAAAATATTTTACTTGCAGAGAGATGATTGTGTGGGTCTCCAAAAATTAAGTGGAAAAAAAAAGAGAAAGAGATAAGAGAGAATTATCCCTCCCCAACCTCCATAAGCCTACCTATTTCACATAAGGATTCAAAGGGAGACCAGAGGAAAGGATTTAAACTAAGGCTCTTTTGGTAACATTCTGATCCTTTGGCAAGCCGATCTGTCTTGCTGTGGAGAGAAACAATAGATTAAATAAACTATAAGCCCCAAAACATTTCCTGTAGCATTAACTTTTTGTGTAGAAAATTAGGTAATTTAAAAAATGTGTTTTGATGCTTTCCTAAACTATCATTATCTCCCTTTTCCCCCCATTGAGACAAAATGTCAAAATAGAGCCCAGGAGCTGGGCGTTGGTAGCCTTGGCTCATGCCTGTAATACTAGCTACTCAGGAGGCTGAGATCTGAGGATGGAGGTGCTAGCTCAGACAGGAGAGTCCATAAGACTCTTATCTCCAATTAACCACCAGAAAACTAGAAGTGGCACTATGGCTCAAAGTGGTACAGTACTAGCCTTGCGCTATAAAGCTCAGGGACATACATATAGAGAGAGACAGAGAGAGAGAGAGAGAGAGAACGAGAGAGAGCGCGAGAGCGAGAGCTCCCAAGATGGTCTCAAACTCTGAGATCTTCCTGCCTTAGCCTCTTCAGTAGTTGGGATTACAGGTACGCCCAACCACGCCTAGCAGTCATTGTGTGTGTGTGTGTACATGCGTGTGTGCACATGCGCATGCATGCATACATGTAAGCACTAGTAGTGGGCCTTGAATTCAGGGCCCGAGCACTGTCCCTGAGCTTCTTTTGCACAAGGCTAGCACTCTACCATTTGAGACACAGTACCACTTCTGTTTATGTGGTACTGAGGAGTCAAACCTAACCTAGGGCTTCATGCATGCTAGACAAGCATTCTACCACTAAGCCACATTCCCAACTGTCCTTGAGTACTTTGCTTGGCCTCTTCCTTTTTTTTTTTTTGTTGGTCATGGGGCTTGAGCTCTGGGCCTGGGCACTGTCCCTCAGCTCTTCAGCTCAAGGCTAGCGTTCTACCGCTTGAGCCACAATGCCACTTCCGGTTTTCTGGTGGTTTATCATAGATTTTCCTGCCTGGGCTGGCTTTGAACCGTTATCCTCAGATTTCAGCCTCCTTAGTACCTAGGATTACAGGCATCAGCCACCCGTGCCTGGATACTTGGCTTTTTTTTTTTTTTGGTCCAGTTGTGGGGCCCTGGGCACTGTCCCTCAGCTCTTCAGCTCAAGACTCAAGCGTTTTACCACTTGAGCCACAGCGCCACTTCCAGCTTTTTTTTTTCCTGCTTATGTGGTGCTGAGGAATCGAACCCAGGGCCTCATGCATGCAAGGCAAGCGCTTTACCACTGAGCCACCTTCCTAGCCCGCTACTTGGCTTTTTAATCAAGGCTGGAAGCCTACTACTTGAGCCACACATAACTTCTGGCTTTTTGCTGGTTAACTGAAGCTAAGAATCTCACAGATTTGTCTTCCCAGGCTGTTTTTGACCCTTGTTCCTCATATCTCAGTCTTCTGAGTAACTAGGATTATAAGTGTAAGCAACTGGTATAAGCACAAGCCAGGTACCAGTGCCTAGACTTTTTTTTTTTTTTTTTTTTAAATCAGGTGATGCTGTCCTTAAAAGTAGTTGAGGACTACTTCTTCTTCTTCTTTTTTTTTTTTGGGACGGTCGTGGGCCTGAACTCTGGGCCTGGGCCCTGTCCCTCAGCTCTTCAGCTCAAGGCTAGTGCTTTACCATTTGAGCCACAGCGCCACTTCGGCTTTTTTTTTTTTTGCTTATGTGGTGCTGAGGAATCGAACCCAGGGCCTCAGGTATGCAAGGCAAGCACTCTACCACTGAGCCACCTTCCCAGCCCAAGGACTATTTCTTACTTTTTTTTCTTTCCTCCCCGGGCCAGACAGTATAGGACCAGGGAAGAATTCTAACTATAAATTAAAATTTCTTTAATTACCTCAGTATTATTTAGTACAGGTTACTAATTATCAGATTAATTTGGTACTGTATAGTTTTTGAAGAATCATTCTACTTATAGAGTTCTGAGTTTTCAGCATACAGATCCATTTAATGTCTTTCGGGTAAGTATAGTGATACTCCTTTTTGCATTCATGAAGTAATTCATGTCCTCATTCCAGTTTTTGGTTAGTTTTGGTGTTTTATTAATTTTACTGACATTTTCAAAAGGATCAACTTGTGGTTTCAGTGATTTTTTTCCTCACTATTTTCTACTTCCAGTTTCACTAAATTTTATTCTATCTTTCCTTTTTTGGTTAAATTTATGTTGATTTTTTTTTGGGGGGGGGTGGGGGGTTGAGTCATGAGGCTTGAACTCAGATGCTATCCCTGCACTCTTTTGTTCTTCTGCTCTTGATCCATAGCACCACTTCCCGTTTCCTGGTGGTTAATTGGAGATAAGAGTCTCATGGACTTTCCTGCCTAGGCTGGCTTCAAACTGTGATCCTCAGATCTCAGCCTCCTGACTAGCTAGAATTGCAGGTGTGAGTCACCAGTGCTGGCTTGAATTTTTTATTTTAGTTTTTTTTGGGGAGATATTTGCAAAGTGATGAGACTTTTGTTTGTGGTACTGGCTTTGAACCCATAGCCTAGAGCTTGCTAGGCTAAGACTCTACCATATGAGCCATCCTTCTCCCACCCTTTTTGGCTTAGGTATTTTTCAATAGGGTCTCAAGTTTCTTTCTTCCTATTTCTCTTCTTTCTGTCTGTCTCCCTTTCTTCCTATTTTTTTTCTTTTACTTTTCTTTTTTGCCAGTCCTGGGGCTTAAACTCAGGGCCTGGGCTTGAACTCAACTCCTGAGCTTTTTGTGCAAGGCTAGTACTCTATTACTTGAGCCTAGTTCCACTTCTGGCAGTTTGGTGGTTAAATGAAGATGAGTCTTGCAGACTTTCCTGCCTGGGCTAGCTTTGAATTGTGATCCTCAGATTTCAGCCTCCAGAAAAGGAGGCATAAGCTACTGGTGCTCCACACCATTAGAAACCTTTGAGATCCAGAATTAAGAACTATGTATCTTTATATACTCTTAGTGCCAGATATTTACAATGTCAATAATGGGAATGGGATCTCAATGTTTCTTGAATGAATGGAAAAGTAGAATCAAAACTAAATTAAAAACACGCAGCCTCTTTCTTAGGTGTGGCTATTGATATCATTCCTTCTGTTCTGAAGAGTGGCATCAATGACTAGACTTACTTCTATTAGACCTGAAAATGGGTCCCCAAATTCAGCTGGTTCATTTGTTCTATATAAGATTTTTCAAGTCTGTTAATGTGTGTTGATACTAGGGTTTGAATTTAGGGCATCAGTTCTTTTTGCTGGCTCTTTTACTCAAAGCTGGCACTCTATTTGAGCCATACTACATCACATTTGGCCTTTTGCTGGTTAACTAGAGATAGAGAGTCTCATTGACTTTTCTGCCTGGGTTGGCTTCGAATCACAATCCTCAGATTTCAGTGTACTAAGTAAGCAGCTAGGATTATAGGCTAAGTTTTCCTGTTTTTTTTGTATATTTTTTGGGGGGTCGGTCGTGGGGCCTGAGCTCTGGGCCTAGGCACTATCCCTCAGCTCTTCAGCTCAAGGCTAGCACTCTACCACTTGAGCTACAGCGCCACTTCCAGCTTTTTTTCTGCTGATGTGGTGCTGAGGCATTGAACCCAGGGCCCTCATGCATGCAATGCAAGCACTCTACCACTGAGCCCCCTTCCCAGCCCACAGTTTTCCTGTTTTTTGAAAGAAATGAAACAACTACTAAAACTAGCCTCAATTTATTTTAAAATAAATAAAACATGCTATCCTATTACTTATTACTTTAGATAAGTAGTCCTCAATTGCTTCTCATAATGTACAACAGATGAGAGCAGTTACGAACAATTCTTGTATTCTATGTCTCTACTTTGTACTCCCCAACTCCCAAAGTATGTCAGAGTACAAAACAATGTTATTACAGAGATAATTTTGCCGACTTTAAAAAGTTTTTAATTTTAATACTTGCAAAATGACTATTTCAACTATTATTGTAATTTCTAGTGACACACCTCAAAATCATGATATAGTAGATGACAACTATTTTTTTTCCCCTGGCATCTGGGCTGACCTCAGGACTTCATACTAGCTCAGCATGCTTGCTCATTGCTGGTGCTCTACCACTTGAGTCATGCCTCCGGTTTGGCTTTTTGCTTGTTAATTGGAGATGGAGTCTCATGTACTTTTCTGCCCAGGCTGGCTTCAAATCATGATTCTCCAGGTCTTAGCCTCCTAAGTAGCAAGGATTATAGGCATGAGCCATTGGCACCCAGCTGAGAACTGTTAATTTTTTATTACTAAAACTTGTTTTCAAATCTCTTCCTAGGGAGTAGCAGAGACACTGTATTAGAGAAAACACTCTTCTCTGTCTTCCTCAGCAAGTCACATGACACTCTCTTTACTTAAGGTTAAAAAAAAAAAAAACAGAGAAAAACAAAACTAAAATTCTGTCCACTCAATTGCTAATGCTGGTATAGCTATTTATCATCATGACAAAGTGAAAAATAAAAAAATGAGATCAACATTTCCACATTTAACAAGGTCACAGACTCAGGATTTTTTATTATGTGTAATATTTTATACATTTTAGCAAAGTTTATTTAACAACACAGAACATAGGGGTTTTCAATCACAAAATATTCTCATAGGGAAACTTTTTCTAGTAGTTTGAGTCATTCTTACTTACCAATATACATGTCCCAACAATGAAAGGGTAAAGCAAGCTGAATCACCAAACTCAGTAACAATATCATCATGGCTTTTCTGCTTATTAAACACTCCACCAGACAGGATCTGTTCCCCTTCTGCAAGCCTTTAAGATATTAATTTATAGATTTAACAAAATCAATATAAAAACCATTCCAAGAGGACATCTTCATTATCAGCGTAGGTCTAACTTGAGAAACAGAAAAGTAAAAAGTAAATAGTAAACATGTACTTACAATCATTTGGGAAGCTGGAAATTTATAATATTAAATTTTAAGTTTGCTTTAAAAAATACATTAAAATTTCACTTCTGCTGGTACTGGGGTTTTGAACTCAGGGCCTCTTGGCTTAGCTAAGCAGGCACTCTTACCATAGAACTATGCCTCCAGCAAAATTTAGTTTCCAAAATAGAAAATCTAGTCTGAGCAGTATATTTATTTGTTTTTTTAAAATTTATTTAATTTTTTTTTTGGTCCAATCGTGGGGCCTGAACTCTGGGCCTGGGCGCTGTCCCTGAGCTCTTCAGCTCAAGGCTAGCACTCTACCACTTGAGCCACAGCGCCACTTCTGGCTTTTTTTCCCCTGCTTATGTGGTATTGAGGAATCGAACCCAGGGCCTCAAGCATGCAAGGCAAGTGCTCTACCACTGAGCCACTTTCCCAGACCTGAGCAGTATATTTATAGCTAATGTCAAAAGAAATAGATTGTTATACTAAGAAAAAAATCGATGGTTAATATTCCTATTTTCCATATTCATATTCACTATACTGATATGGTGGCCCTTACAAAATTCCCTAAATTAGGTATAAGGAAATTAAACAAGATTAATATATTTTAATTAAAATTTGCATACTAATGGCCTGTCAGTTTTAGTTTTATGAATGCTTTATTACCAATATTCTTTCAATATTTTCAAACATGCAATCAAATGTTCCCAAAATGAAAAAAAAATCACCTCATTTCATTTATATTTTTAGTCTCTTAGGGTCTATAATGACTTGTTTTATAAAGTTCATTTTCTTTTGCATTACTCAGGGCTTTGTTCTTGCTAGGCAGGTACTCTACCACTGAGCTATGTTTCCAGCTGAAGTTTTTTTTTTGTCGGTTGTGGGGCTTGAACTTGGTCTTGATGCTTGCTGTCCCTGAGCTCTTCAGCTCAAGGCAAGCACTTTACAACTTGAGCCACACTATCACTTCTGGTTTTCTGGTGGTTAACTGGAGATAAGAGTCTCATGGACTTTGCTGCCTGGGCTGGCTTTAAACTGTGATCCTCAGATCTCAGCCTCCTGAGTAGCTAGGTGTGAGCCACTGATGCCTGGCTCCAGCTAAAGTTTTGATTAAAGAAAGTATCATCATATAGAAAACTCTTGAATTTTACACAGCATATTGTAAAGACAATTGTATGTGTCTTCTCACCGTCACTGAATTTTTTTTTTTTGGGGGGGGGGGGGCCCATCTGGGCCTGGGTGCTGTCTCTCAGCTCTTCAGCTCAAGGCTAGCACTCTACCACTGAGTCAACTTCCCAGCCTCATCACTAGAACTTTTTAATTATTCATCCTCAAGTTAAAACATCTCACATATATAATTATAAATTGGATAAGAATATTAACTGGCAAATTAAGAAAGCATGGTTGGGTGCAGGCTGCCCATAATCCTAGCTACTCAAAAGAGGCTGATAAGGGTTAGAAGCATGACTCAGGTGGTAGATCACAAGCTAATGAATGAAAGCATTAAGATACCAAGGATTCCTGTCCTAGAACAACAACAACAAATGGCTGAGATCTTAGGATCTCAGTTCAAAGCTGGCCCAGGTAAAAGAGTCCACGATACTTATCTCTAATTAACCAGGAAAAACTGATGGTAGTGGCATGGTAGAGCATTAGTCTTAATGAAAAAAAAAAAAAAAGCAGAACTCTAAGCCCTGAGTTCAAGACCCAGTACAAGTACCAAAAAAAGAAAAAGAAGAAAAATAGAAAAAGAAAGTAGATGTATCTCAAAAAATGTACATGTATTTTGGCTAGTCTTAATTAAAAGGTCACCCAAATTAAAAAGTCACCATTCATTGGACTAACATAGTATAAGATTTTCTAAGACCATTTACATTCTCCATATGTAAACCTACAAACAAAATAAGACACACAGGCTTTTACAAATATTTGTTCATTTTTACCACTATTCCATCTTTGACAGCACAGAAAAAAAGTTTAACACAACATCTCCAACTGCCTCCAAATTTGGAATAAGGACAGCGATTTCATTTAACTGTAGTAAGGAAAAGAAGTACTCTCCTGACTGTCCTCTTGCTTCAAAGGGGTTAAGGTAGGCAATAGTTCCCAAATAAAATGATCTCAAAAAGAGGTTTAGGGCTGGGAAGGTGGCTCAGTGGTAGAGTGCTTGCCTTGCATGCATTGAGACCCTGGGTTCGATTCCTCAGCATCACATGAGCAGAAAAAGCCAGAAGTGGCGCTGTGGCTCAAGTGGTAGAGCGCTAGCCTTGAGCTGAAGAGCTCAGGGACAGTGCCCAGGCCCAGAGTTCAGGCCTCATGACTGACAAAAAAAAAAAGAGTTAGTTATAACTTCAGCTTCTCCAGAATTAAATTCTGGTTTTTGTTTTTATTTATTTATTTTTGGATTGGTCATAGGGCTTGAACACAGAGCTTGGCTGTTTTCCTGAGATTTGTTTTTTTTTTTTGCTGAAGGCTACTCTCTACTACTTTGAGCACAGAGCCACTCCTGGTATTCTGGTGGCTAACTGGAGTTAAGAGTCTTATGGACTTTCCTGCCTGGGCTGGCTTTGAACTTGATCCTCAGATCTCAGCTTCCTGAGTAGCTAGGGCCTAGCTTGTTTTTTTTTGTTGTTGTTAGTAGTGGGGCCTCATGCATGTTAGGCAAGCACTCTACCACTAAGCCACATCCCCTGCCCCTGTTGTTGTTGTTGTTTTAATCACCACATTTCTCAATTAACTGAAATAATGCCACAGTCAAGAGTACAGACATTTCAAATTTACCAGAGTTCAGGTCCCACGACCAACAAAAGAAAGAAAGAAAGAAAGAAAGAAAGAAAGAAAGAAAGAAAGAAAGAAAGAAAGAAAGAAAGAAAGAAAGAAAGAAAGAAAGAAAGAAAGAAAGAAAGAAAGAAAGAAAGAAAGAAAGAAAGACAGGAAGAAAGGAAGGAAGGAAGGAAGGAAGGAAGGAAGAAAGAAGAAAGAGTTCTATCCACAAATTCTACAGTTTTAAGTAGAACAAAGTAGCTGAAGATTTAAGAACTTACTTGCTGAGGTCAACACAACACTTTGCAAGCAGGTATTTACATTGTGGTGTGGTACAACTATGTCCTTTTAAGAGTCTGTATGCTTTATATGCCTTTCCTGAGCGGTAATAACAGGTTGCCAGCAAAAACAAGGCTTCTTCTGAGTGCACTAAGAAAAGATATTAAAAAAAGAAAAAAACGAAGGAATTGGCAATTGTTCAGCATATTGAATAGTATAGTTTATCTGTCAATTAACAAGTTTAGCAACGAAATGAGATGTATTATTTATTCCAAAATATTAATTCAGATTTCAATTATAAGAAAACTTTATTTTTCCACAAGGAACCAAGAAAATAATATAATAAAGACAATCATAGTACATTTTGTAAATCTTTTTAAAAACACATACAATCAGCAACAATGAGATGTACAAGTCGTTATGTCGAAAAAAACGAAGTTAACAACTTTGGTGGGGGGGTAGGAGGAGAATTGGGTGGGGGGAGGGGAGGAGTATGGGAAGGGATGGGAAGGGGAAACAACAAGGAGGCAACAATGCTTGATGAGAAATGTACTTGTGGGGCTGGCAAGGTGGCTTAGTGGTAGAGCGCTTGCCTTGCATGATTGAGGCCCTGGGTTTGATTCCCCAGCACCACATAAGCAAAAAGACAAAAGCCGGAAGTGGCACTATTGCTCAAGTGGTAGAGCACTAGCCTTGAGCTGAAGAGCTGAGGGACAGCACCCAGGCCCAGAGTTCAGGCCCCACGACCAGACCCACCCCACACCCTCCCCCCAAAATAAAAGAAATGTACTTGTTATCTTGCCCATGTAATTGTAACTCCTCTGTACGGTATTCTCACACACACACACACACACACACACACACACACACACACACACACACACACACATACAATCCTGTTATTTAAACAGACTACCATAAAATATTTTGATTTTGGGTAGTATCTGTCCAGTATACCATTAGGCTAGAAAGAAGTCAGTTTTATTAGAGTAAAACTGAAAGTAAATAAAATCTCATTATTAATCTGAAATAATTTCTATATTAAGAGACCAGATGTTTAAAAAGTTGTTTCTAATACCAAATATCCACTAAATTACAATTAAGATAACTTTAATGAAAAAAAATTCTAAACTGTGAATGCCCTCATGATATTAATAATTCAAATGATAGACTTTATTCCAACACAGGTTAAACTGCGTTCCAAGGTCAAAAGCTGAGTTATTCATCAATTTGTACCTTATTCCTCCTTTTTTCTGTGCCAGTACCAGGACTTGAATTTAGGACGTTGTGCCCTTGCTTAGCTTTTTTGCTAAGTGGCGATCTGCCACTTGAACAGTATTTCCATTTCCATCTTTTTGCTAGTTAAATGGAGATAACAATTTCTTAGATTTATCTGATTGGGCTAGAAATCTTACTATCAATACTATGGGAAATTTTAATCATCTAAATTTAAATATGTAATTTATAATCTTAGGTGTCTAAGTATAATAAAATAGAAACTACCCTTCGCCTACCTCTTTCTTCTTTTCTTTCTGCTATGGGTTGAACCTAGGGCCTCATGCATTTTAGGCAAATGTTCTATCACTGAGCCATAGTCCCAGTCCTGCCTATTCATTAATAAATTTGACATAAAAAATAAAAAATATAAGACAGCAAAACATGAGATTGCTTGAGAATCAATGAAATATGTTTAGATTATGCTAACCTTGTTTTTGTAATTATTTATATTAATATTTCAGAAGAATTATAATTTAATGACAGGAACAGAACATATATTATCAATGTTTCTTGAGGATTCATTACCATGCCAAATGGCTGTGTCAAGTGCTTTGAAAACACTGTCTCATTTAATTTTCCAATTTGATGAGGCAGTTACCATTTTAAACATTCATGGATAAACATTTATACTTAAAATTAGAAATGTTAGTAGAGAAATAAAAGTAAATTTCTATTGTATAAAGATACAATCATTTTGACTATGGAGAACTATGGAGGGAATAAATCTGATCAGTGTAAAAGTAAGCCAATAGACATGTCAAAATGAACACCTCTTGTACAAAAAATAGATGGTAAAACAAAAAGAAGAAAGTTGCATTGATTTTGGTTACAACCAGCGTCAGAATACACAAAAAGGAAATTCAAATCTATGAAATTTTCTGCATGTAGATCACCATAGCATTAAGGCTTTACATTCCATGAAATAGTTCCTTAGGGAAAGTTGATATAATAAAAACTTAATGTAATTGCCAGGCAGCCGGTAGCACATGCCTGTAATCCTAGCTACTCAGGTGGCTGAGATCTGAGGATTATGGTTCAAAGCCAGCAGGAGCAGGAAAGTCTTTGAGATTTTTATCTCCAATAAACCACTCAGAAAACTGGAAGTGGCACAGTGGCTCAAGTGGTAGAGTGCTAACCTTGAGCTGAAGAGCTGAGGGACAGCGCCCAAGCTGAGTTCAAGCCCCATGACCAACCCCCCCCCCCAAAAAAAAAAATTAATGCAAACCAGAACAAGTCAGAAAGGATATTGGAATCAAAAGTCAACATATAACTGAACAACTTTAAAATGGCTTAAAGTTAATTGTTTGCATGGACTATTTCTTACTAATTCAAATATTTCATAAGTAATGTCTTGCTGCAATAAAAGGTAATAATAGAGCTACTTTTCTCAGGTCATATTCATTTTTGTATATGAACTAAAGTTTTTGAAATCTTTTTTACTGCCCAAAATCCCATTAAAGAATCAAGAAATCAGCTTTTATGTTTAGAAGGCTATCTTGCTCTTTCCACATTAAAAGAAAAAAAGAGCCAGGTGCATTTACTTCTGTAATCCTAGATACTCAAGAGGCTAACATCTGAGGATTGCAGTTTGAGCTGGGGAGGGAAGTCTATGAGACTCTTATCTCCAATTAACCATCAAAAAAGCTGAAAGTGGACCTGTACCTCAAAATGGTAGAGTGCTAGCCTTGAGCAGAAAAACTCATATTGCTTAGGTCCTCAATTCAATAACCAGGACTGGCAAAAAAAAAAAAAAAAAAGTATTCAATTTCCTTTTTTTCCCCCTCTTTCTGGTTCTTGTCTCAAACACAAATTTATTTATAGGTTGCTGTTTAAATGTTAGAATATTGGCATTTGTGTTGGTCATTTTGCCTTTAGTTTTTTGATAATTTTTTCAACAACTTTCTTAGAGACATAAGCAACATCACCACTACTTCCCCACATATGCTTTCACTTTCCTTTCCTTTGTTTTATTTTGGTGCCCGTCCTGGGGCTTGAATCTCAGAGCCTGGATACTGTCCCTGAACTTCTTTTGCTCAAGGCTAGCACTCTACCACTTGAGCCACAGTGTCACTTCCAGCTTTTTCTGTTTATGTGGTACTGAGGAATCAAACCCCAGGCTTCATGCATGCTAGGCAAGCACTCTACCACCACTAAACCACATTAATGTCCTAGTCCCTGAATATATTCTTAATTAGATAGTGTCTCCTGAAAAATATTTCAAACTACACAGTTCAATTAATATGAAATGCATACACATTTATTCACAAAAGAATACTTCACATTCTGGGATGAATGGATGTATCTTCAAAAGTTTGAAGATAAATTTTATATTTGAAATTTTTAAAAATGAATAATCAGGGTGGAAAGGTGACACAGTGGTAGAGTGCTTGCCTTGCATGCATGAGGCCCTGGGTTTGATTCCTCAGGACCATATAAACAGAAAAAGCCAGAAGTGGCGCTGTGGCTCAAGTGGTAGAGCACTAGCCTTGCGCTGAAGAGCTCAGGGACAGCACCTAGGCCCAGAGTTCAAGCCCCACAACTGACCCCCCCCAAAAAAAATTAATTAAAAAATGAATAATCAAAATAAATCAAACAAGAAGCAGATAAAAAAAATGTTTCAGGGGCTGGGAAGGTGGCTCAGTGGTAGAGCGCTTGCCTTGCATGCCTGAGGCCCTGGGTTCGATTCCTCAGCACCACATAAGCGAAAAGAAAAAAGCCGGAAGTGGCGCTGTGGCTCAAGTGGTAGAGCACTAGCCTTGAACTGAAGAGCTCAGGGACAGCACCTAGGCCCAGAGTTCAAGCCCCACAACTGATCAAATAAATAATAATAATAATTAATTAAAAAATGAATAATCAAAATAAATCAAACAAGAAGCAGATAAAAAAATGTTTCAGGGGCTAGGAAGGTGGCTCAGTGGTAGAGTGCTTGCCTTGCATGCCTGAGGTCCTGGGTTCGATTCCTCAGCACCACATAAGCAAAAAGAAAAAAGCTGGAAGTGGCGTTGTGACTCAAGTGGTAGAGCGCTAGCCTTGAGCTGAAGAGCTGAGGGACAGTGCCCAGGTCCAGAGTTCAAGCCCCACCACTGGACCCCCCCCCCCAAAAAAAGTTTCAAATGCCTAAATTTTTGTCAACTGGTTGGCTGTAAAGAAAAATAACCTAACATTCTAATCATGGATCAATATAGTCAAATTTAGTAACTCAAGAGAAAAGCCTACCAACTGCTAGCCCATAGTTGTTTGCGAAATTTTATCTGAAAGAATATTTTAGGTAAGAACATTAATTGTTTACATCTTTCAACAGAGATGATCAAAATCATTTCCCACAACAAAGTATACAATACTTCAAATTTCTTGACTGAAGGGATAATTTCCAAAATTACAACTCCTTTATTTTTATTTATTTTTTTGTGGGATTGTGGGGCCTGAACTCTGGGCCTAGGCCCCAGAGTTCAATCAAAAGAAAAGTTTGAACTTTTGGTTGGAGAATTTGAAAGGATATTTAATTGTATTTATAATTTTCCAACTATTCTGACATGTGTCACTACAATTTTGATAAATAGCCTAATTAATCAAAATTTCTGGTTTGCTTTTTGTTTTTGCTGGTCGTGGGGCCTGAACTCTGGGTCTGGGCACTGTCCCTAAGCTCTTCAGCTCAAGGCTAGTGCTCTACCACTTGAGCCACAGTGCCACTTCCAACCTTTTCTGCTTATGTGGTGCTGAGGAATCGAACCCAAGGGCATGCAAGGCATGCAAGGCAAGCACTCTACCACTGAGCCACCTTCCCAGCCCTACAAATCCTTTAAAATGAAAAACATTAAAAATATATATCAAATTGGATGTTGAAAGACTTTATAATTTTTCTCAAGGACCTAAAACCTGAATTTGGATAAAATTAAATAAATACTTGTTTTAGTTGCTAAATATATATATATATCAATCAAAAGAAAAATTTGAACTTTTGGTTGGAGAATTTGAAAGGATGTTTAATTGTATTTATAATTTTCCAACTATTCTGACATATGTCACTACAATTTTGATAGACTAATCAAAATTTCTAATTAATTTTTGTGATTCCTTTATAATTCTTTCTTTTTTTTGGCTAGTGATAGGGCTTGAGCTCTGGGTCTGGGCACTGTTCCTCAGCTCTTCAGCTAAAGGCTAACGCCCTATCACTTGAGCCACAGCGCCACTTCCAGCCTTTTCCTGCTTATGTGGTGCTGAGGAATTGAACCCAGGCCCTCATGCATGCAAGGCAAGCACTCTACCACTGAGCCACCTTCCCAGCCCCCTTTATAATTCTTTCTAAGTCTTTCCTGAGCGAATTTGTCTTCTTGGCATATTGCTTTAAGCAGAATAAATTCATGTGCATATGACCTCATGAATTGTTAACCTTAATCTATGAGGTAATTATTATCTTTATTTTTTAAATGAGAATATGAAATGCTCAAACATTAAATAATTTGCCTGACTATACAAATATCTGTTTAAATTACAGGAATAAGATTAAGATTTTCATTATGGGGGCTGAGAAGGTAGCTCAGTGGTAGAGCACTTGCCTTGCATGCCTGAGGCCCTGGGTTGGATTCCTAAGCACCACATAAGCAAAAAGAAAAAAGCCGAAAGTGGCTCTGTGGCTCAAGTGGTAGAGAGTTAATCTTACGCTGAAGAGCTGAGGGACAGTGCACAGGCCCAGAGTTCAGGCCCCATGACCGGACCCAAAAAAAAAAAAAGATTTTCATTATGGATTAAGCTTTCTAACTCCAGATTCCAAACATACTCAGCCACAGAATATGGAGTCTATTCTTAAAAAAAAAAAATCCAACCATAAACTGGCACTAGTAGCTCATATCTATAATCCTATATACTTAGGAGGCTGAGATCTGAGGATTACAGTTCGAAGCCAGCCTGGTCAGGAAAGCCTATAAGACTCTTATCTCCAATTAACTACCTAAAAAGCCAAAAATGGAGCTGTAGCTTAAATGGTAGAGCACTGGTCTTAACAAAACAGAAAGACAAGCTAGGCACTGGTGGCTCATGTAATCCTAGCTACTCAGGAGGCTGAGATCTGAGGATTGTGGTTCAAAGCCAGCCTAGGCAGGGAAGTCCATGAGACTCTTACTCCAATTAACCACCAGAAAACCAGAAGTGGTGCTGTGGCTCAAGTGGTAAAATGCTTACCTTGAGCTGAAGAGCTCAGGGACAGTACCCAGGCCTAGAGTTCAAGCTCCACCCCCCCACCCCCCCCAAAAAAGCCAAGCTTAGGAAAAAACTAAAAATTAGGATATGGTTGATTCTATAAACTTGAATCAACACTATCATCTTTACATGAAAGGAGCCAGATAGACGCAAACTAAAGTTTTAATGACTAGTATAGTACAGTAAAACCAAAAAAAAAAAAAAAAACCCCTACAATAAATCAAGAATCTTGTTAGTCATAAAAAGTGATGGAATTCCATGCCTTTTACTCATTTGTGGTTATATATGAATGAACATATTACAGACCTTCTGCATACAGTCGTTCTGCGAGAAAAACTGCATCTCGGTAAGCATAGTGGTTTAGTGCTTGCCATATAGCAGCCTGTAAATGGAGAAAAAAAGTAACTATAAGTACATACAGAATTTCAAAGTAACTACTAGTAAGGAGACTACTCAAATTAGTATCCCTAATTTAAATAAAACCCCAACGCACACAGAGCCAAATTCTTCAGTGTGTTGGATAAAGCTCTTCAGAGCCTGGTCCCTAATATATCTGCTTTTATTCCTCAGACTTTAGGCTTCTGAACCTTTGTACATATATTTATTTCATCAGGGAATGAATATTGGCTCCCTTAGCACCTTCCCCTAACAAAATGCTCATCCCAAAAGATCTAGCTTAAGTAATAATGCTTTTCTAAGCTTATCTCTAGCCATTTATTTTTTTCTTTTTAAAAAGCCAAATATATTTTTAAAAATTCATATTTACATTACAGTCTGCCCACTAAGTTGCAGATTCTTAATAGCACTGATTCTCAGCTACTTTTCATAATACATTTGAAAGACATTCAAATTTATGTTACCCTCCTATAAAAATACTCCCAACTTAAACACCACCCAATTCTTAGCCTCTACAAAGGACATACTGGAATATAGATGAGTAAGGTTATTATAGGACTATCTTTTTTCCTTTTTTTGACAGCCCTGGTACTTGAACTCAGGGCCTAGGCACTGTCCCTGAGCATTTAAAAGTGCTCAAGGTTAGTGCTCTACCACTTAAGCCATAGTTTCCCTTCTGGTTTTTTGTTGGTTAATTGGAGATAAGAGTCTCATGGGCTTTCCTGCTGGAGCTAGCTTGGAACCATGATCCTCAGATCTCAGTCTCCTGAGAAGCTAGAATTACAGGCATGAGGCAATGATGCCCAGCTTGTATGACTACTAATCTTTAAATTTACTTGGATTATATGGGCTTTTTCTCCTAATCTTGGGTCTTAAACTCAGGACCTGAGTGCTGTCCCTGAGCTTTTTTTGCTCAAGGCTAGCACTCTACCACTTCAGCCACTTGAGCCACAGCTCCACTTCCAGATTTTATGGTAGTTTATTAGAAATAAAAGTCTTACCGGGCGCCAGTGGCTCCCCTTAAGCTTAAGAGCTCAGGGACAGCACCCAGGCCCAGAGTTCAAACCCCACGACCGACTCCCCTCCCCTCCCCCCGCCCCCCTGCAAAAAAGAAAGAAGAGTCTTATGGACTTCCCTGCCAGGGCTGGCTCTGAGCCATGACCACTGCTTTCAGCCTCCTGAGAACTAGGATTAAAGGTGAGAGGCACCAGTGCCTAGATTTTTTGTTGTTGTTGGTGGTGGTCATGGGGCTTGAACTCTGGGCCCTGGGCACCGTCGCTCAGCTATTCAGCTCAAGACAAGCGCTCTACCACTTGAGCCACAGGCCTCTTCCAGTTTTCTGAGTGGTTTACTGGAGCTAAGAGTCTCATGGACTTTCCTGCCCAGGCTAGCTTTGAATCACGATCCTCCTCGGATCTCAGCCTCTTGAGTAGCTAGGATTACAGGCGTGAGCCAGCTCCTGGCTAGCTATTTCCCATGTACTAATCATCTAACTCAAGAAGCAAAATATTGCTGTCTTCAAAAGTCCCCATGGGTTTCTTTAACATATTAATAATGTTACCTCTTACTGCCCTAAAAAAGAAACAACTTCTCTAAATTTTGATTTTTGTTTTCTTCATAATGTGATGTACATATCATACCTATGCAACATAATATTTAGTTTTCCTTATCTAATTTTAAATAAATACAATCCCATTTAATACTTTCTGCTGTGACTTGCTTTTGAAACCCAGTCTTGGGCTAGGAATGTGGTTTAGTGGTAGCATGCATGAAGCCCTGGGTTCGATTCCTCAGTACCACATAAGCAGAAAAATCCAGAAGTGGTGTTGTGGTTCAAGTGGTAAAGCGCTTGCCTTGAGCTGAAGAGTTTAGAGACAGCACCCAGGCCCGAAGTTTAAGCCCCATGACTATTAAAAAAACAAAAAATCCCCTACCCCCCCCCCCCCCCAAACAATAAGATGCTGTACCATGCTAGAGATGCAGCTCAGTGGTAGAGGCTTGACTTAGTATGTACATGGCCCCAGGGTTCAATCTGTATCACTAAACAAAATACCTTGCTAATTATTATTAAAATATGTAAATTTATGGATATTCTCCTCTGCATATTAGGGGTAAATCCTCTTGTCACTGAGCTACATACTATCAGGGAGTGATAAACTACCTACCTTTAGATATCATGATATAATGATACAATTTAAAAAAAAATTTTTTTTGCCAGTCCTGGGGCTTGAACTCAGGGCCTGGGCACTGTCCCTGAGCTTCTTTTGCTCATGGCTAGCACTCTACCACTTGAGCCACAGCCCCACTTTCAGTTTTTTCTGTTTATGTGGTACTGAGGAATTGAACCCAGGGTTTCATGCATGCTAGGCAAGCACTCTACCACCAGGCCATATTCCCAGCCCCAATAATGATAGAAATTTTTTACACTTTTCACTTTATAATTTGTGGAATGAAGTTGGAAGCTGGTGGCTTACTCCTGTAATCTTACTCAGGAGGCTGAGATCTGAGGATCACAGATCAAAGCCAGCTTGGTTAGGAAAGTCTGTGACACTCGTATCTCCAATTAATCACAGAAAAAGCTGGAAGTGGTAGGGTGCTAGCCTTGGGCAAAAAGAGTTCAGGGATAGCATTCAGGCCTAGAGATGGGAGGGTCAGGAGGGGATAGAAATGGAGAATTATGGAATGATGTGACAAAGAGTTATAATGAGGCAAATAAAAAAAATCCAATTACTTATCATTAACTAACACTATGACAGTATATGTAGATTACATTAAAGAAATAGTGGTACAGGCCTTGCTTAGCATGCATGAGGCCTTGGGCTCAAACCTACAGCACCATATACAGCATAAATACCACATAGGACACACACAGAAACAACCAATCAATCAATCAATCAATCATCAAGTTCCAAAACCTCTGTAGGTTCACATGTATCATCTTGGTCATAACCAAGTTTTACACATCCATGGGAATTAATTAGAAATACCATCTCCTGCCACAATTTACTCAAATTAGGTAGCTAAGAAGAAATCTTCTTTTAGTTTGAAATTTAACTATCAATTTCACTTTCCCCAGTATATTCAGAAGTAGTTAGCATGTTCTATAACATGATTCCAACAGTGTCCATAAAAACACAAAGCACTTTTTTGGGTATTCTAAATCACAGAAATTCTATAATTTCTAAATAGTTAAGGAAGTTAATTCGTTATACAAAGGCTGATTTATCCCAACAGCCCCAATGATATAATTTCCAGAAGACAAAAGGGTCCATAAAATTGTATTTTTTTTTCTTATTTTAGTTCTCTTCCAGCAGTACAATGTGCTTGTTTTAGAATTCCTCCACACAAATTAATTTCATAATGCTGTTCACTATCACTAAAGGGACTCATCCTCAGTAATCAGTGGGTCCTTTTTATTATTTAGGAAATAAAGAATGACAAGAAAAAAAACCAAAAACAACACTAAGACATTAAATACAAATAGGACCTGTTAGGAAGACTTGCTGGATTACTACAAGATTCTTCCTCAACTAAAGACACTTAAATAAAACAATATACCAAATATAAGCTGTGCAGAAACAGGCAAAAAACACATACAATGTCTTACTACATTTGTTTCTGCTAACTCTTCCACATATCATTAGTCAAGGATTCTACTCTCACTTTTGGATAGCATTTGTCTATAAAAGATACTAACAACACATTTCACTAAGAGTACAAAGATATATACTACAATTACATGAAAGAATTTTTTTTTTGATATTTGATTGAGTCTAGTATGTCTTTTTTTTTGCGAGGGGGGGTCCGGTTGTTGGGCCTGAACTCTGGGCCTGGGCGCTGTCCCTCAGCTCTTCAGCTCAAGGCTAGCACTCTACCACTTGAACCACAGCGCCACTTCAGGCTTTTTTTCTTTTTGCTTATGTGGTGCTGAGGAATCGAACCCAGGGCCTCATGCATGCAAGGCAAGTGCTCTACCACTGCGCCACCTTCCCAGCCCCGAGTCTAGTATGTCTTTCCATGAATAATAATAAGCCAACAGGAAACAGAGGAGTGTTTGTTCTTTGATGTGTTTTCTTTCTCCTTCCCCAACTCTTACAAACTTATCTGTCCTGGAGGGCTCTAGTTCTCATTCATTCAATGTTTTCTGAGTGGCTACTATATGTCAGACACTTTCTAGACTGAAGATGTACAGAATGAGTTTCTGTTCTCAAAGACTAACTTTAAGTGGTTTTCCTGTCTAGGTCAGTGACTCTCAACCCTGTGCTTATAATGCTCTATTCAAAATCGACTAAAATACAATCCCTGCAAGCTGGGATTGAATTTAGACATCAATATTTTAAACTTTTCCAAGTGGTAATAATCATTCAAGTTTTCTTTCTTTCTTTCTTTCTTTTTTTCTTTCTTTGTTGGTCATGGGGCCTGGGTGCTGTCCCTCAGCTACTCAGCTCAAGGGTAGTGTTATACCACTTGAGCCACAGCACCACTTCTAGTTTTCTGGTGGTTTACTGAAGATAAGAGTCTCATGGTGCTGGTGGCTCACGCCTATAATCCTAGCTACTCAGGAGGCTGAGATCTGAGGATCACGGTTCAAAGCCAGCCTGGGCAAGGAAGTCAGTGAGACTCTTATCTCCAATAAACCATTAGAAAACCGGAAGTGGCACTGTAGTTCAAGAGGTAGAGTGCTTGCCTTGACCTGAAGAGTGCAGGGACAGCGCCCAAGCCCAGAGTTCAAGCCCCCACAACCGACAAAAAAGAGTGTCATGGACTTTCCTGCCTGGGCTGGCTTTGAACAGTGATCCTCAGATCTCAGCCTCCTGAGTAGCTAGGATTATAGGCATATGCCACCAGCGCCTGGCTTCAGGTTTTTTTTTTTTGTCGGTCGTGGGGCTTGAACTCTGGGCCTGGGCGTTGTCCCTCAGCTCTTCAGCTCAAGGCGAGCCCGGGCGTTGTCCCTCAGCTCTTCAGCTCAAGGCGAGCTCTCTACCA